AATAGACATTATTATCGATACAAAGGCCAAATCTATAGTTTTTAGAAATTTTGTCTGTCTGTCTGTTACCGCATCACGGAAAAACCACTGGAGGGATTTTGATGAAATTTGGTGTGGTGATAACTCCTTATCCGGGTCAACATACAGGATACTTTTCACCGCGGAAAAATATCTCATTTCTGAGAAAAAATACAAAAACTGCAATGTAAGAGTATACTAATATGTAAAACCTAAGAATTTGATTTTTGGTCATCTGAACGCGGGCGGAGCCGCGGGCAATGCTAGTAAATAATAATTAAGGGTGGTACTAGGTGGTACATTATATGAAAGTTGTAAGCAATGAGTCTTTTTTTTTCAAGAAATAACTATTGTACAACTTTGAGGCTAATACAGTATTTAAACATGTTTAGATTTAGGGCACATAAGGAAATTCATATATCGAGTACAACAAATAGTAACAATCATGTGTTAGTCACATTTGCGGTAGAAGTTTAACCGCTTATTTTGTTACTAAAGAAAACATTTATAACGAGTGATAAAGTTTAAGATATATTATACTACTAGCAGAACTCGCGGCTACGCCCGCGTTCAATCTACAAAAAAAACTCTATGGCTTACAGCAGCTACGTATTTATATTGTTCATACAAAAATACTAAAATCGCGATTAAAAAATGGGGATGGGGTAAGAGGGTGATAAATACTTTACGACCTTTTCTCATACCTACCAAATATACAAAAAAACATTAAATTCGGTCGAGCCGTTTCGGAGGAGTGCGACTACAAGCACCGTGACACGAAATTTTTATATATTAGATGTTGGATTTATTGCGCTTTGCATATTATAGAACATTTTACACATATGTACAAGATCATATTAATGCGGGATTTCTATAAACAGTGTACATTAGTCTTATTATATATTAACCAGTATCACTTTAGCGTTTTTTTAAATATAAAAACTACTTATTGTTATTTGTATTTCTTAAGATTTCAAGAGCTTGAAGGAGCCCGGTTCCTTAACAGGCTTACGTGGGTACTAAGATCCAACCCATAGAGGCCCCTTCAGAAGTTTATTTTTTTTAATTTTGACGAATCAGTCGGTATATCTCAGAATAACTTATTGGGAATTGCCAAATAAGATGATAACTGGATAATGCGTAGGGAATAAGGAAAATATGAAATGTTATTGCATTGTCGTCTGCTTTTTCAAAAGTTTCAACATTGAACTTTACGCAAACGGAGACTCGCCTCCCACTAGATGGGACTCCACAAAGCGTTGCAATACCTCGGATGCAATATCGTGTGTTGTCTAGAGGTGTGCACCGGTTTTACTATCGCGAGAGTGATCGGGTTTCCTCGTTATTATGCAGATTGAGAACTTCCAGTCTTTCGAGCAATTAGGTCTTGCGTTCCACTCTGGCAAGTGGAAGGCCACTGAAAGCAAGCCAGAGACGGTGGACTGATGTTTGACGACACGTTTGGCTCAGTTTGTAGTAACCCGTCTTGCTGTGTCAGCGGTCGCGGGTTCAAGTCCCGCTGGGGGCATGGGGGGGATGCTCATCATACCAATGTTCGTACGCTGGTCATGGGTGTTTATATTTATAATATGTATGTATTTAAAGTTATATATGTGTAATGTATCAACTATCTGGTATCCATAACACAAGCCTCGTAGCTTACCATGGAACTAGATGGCGCTGTGTGTTAATGTCCCAAAATATATTTTGTGCCCTGGAGGTCTCAGGTCCCTGGTTAGCCACTCACTAAGAGTACTAAATGTGTATATAAGCTCTTTCTTGTTAAATAATAATAATAGAAAATAAAACACAATTGGCGATCTTTTAATAATAATATTTAATTAATTATGTAGTAATGATATTTAAGTAAATTGGAAAGTTATATTTTAGTTTATATTTTATTATTTTCATAAAAATTCTTTAATTATATATAAAATAATATAACACACATGTATATACTCGACCGAATTCGCTAAGTAACTAAAAATGGAAAATATTATTTTTCCAGATCTATCCACTACAGCAGTTTATAAATGCAGCACAAATTAATATAACATTGATTTTGCCGTTGGTGCTTTCCTTCACGGCGGAACTGGTTGTATCATTGAGGAGAGTTCAAGAGTTTTTGGCCTTTGGTAAGAGTATAAAAAAAGCTAAGCAAAATATTCATCCTTGTAAAGATATTCACTAAAACTAAAGAAACATAATCCATATTTGTAATAATTTTTATTTTTATTGACTTTCCAAGGTCAATGCTGTAACTTAAAATTTAATGAAACAAAGTACTGCGTAATATCATTAATTTGTTAGAATTTTCGATAATCCGATCATATAAATCCGGCATAATACTATTTATAGTATTAAAAAGTACGGATTTTTAAAATATTACACCTCTGAAGCTTATTTGCTGATAGCCTTATAGTAAAAAGAAGAGAGATAACACGATATTAAGACCTTTCATAATAAATTTAAAATCATTCGTATAACTCCCGTGGTCTCGACCTGGAACTTAACAGGAGTTTCCCATAATGCATATTTTTTTCTGTGTACTATATTATACATTTGGCCGAGATATGAGGTGTTTGATACTAACAGATTCATTGATTCAAAGTTCAGTAATCGATAATAATTTAGACATCTATGAACGAACTCGAGCGAAGCGAGGGCAAGTCTAGACTTACTTTCGCTTCGGTAGGTAGAGGCGAGTATAATAAAGCAATCTTTATTTGTATTAGCTGAGATGCCAATTATATGGATCGTTTGTATATCTTGATATCGTGAACTATTTTAGTAAAAGAATCTATTTTTTCTAAACAATGTTTAATGAAATTTGTTTTCTTTTTTTTTATATTTTACCTCTTTAACATCAACTCAGTCCATGCCTAAAAATCTGATAATAACTCGAGTCGAATTATATACTAATATAGGCTTAGGTTTACTTTAGGTTTGTTATGATTTTGAAAGGTAAGTTATTAAAGAATTATTATGTATATTTTACAGAAAACAATCATCATCTCGGCTAACAAAAATAAAGATTACTTTATTATGTTACTAGCTGTGGCCCGCGGTTTCACCCGCGTTAAATTTGATTAGATATATGTCTGTTTCATATACCTTTCCTCTACACGATGAGTATTTGACCAAAGTTTCTGAGCTTTAAGCACTATAAACATATTATAAATATCAATTTTACAATAATGTATGGAAGTCTACTTGATTTGTTGATATTTATAATTACTGCTCCGCTCTCTTCTTGCCCTTCTTCTACGGGTAGTAGCACGATGATATATATAGCCTATAGCCTTCCTCAATAAACGGGCTGTCTAATGCAAAAAGAATTTTTCAAATCGGATTAGTAGTTCTAACAAACAAACAAATAGACAGACGGACGCACGGACGTGCGGACGGACAAACAGACCGACAGACGGACTGGGAGACATACAGACAGACAGACATACAGACAGACAGACAGAGAGATAAACTCTGCGTCTTTATAATATTAGTATAGATTACGTTCCTATAGGTGTCTTTTTGTATACATTTTAATGGCCAGTTTATTTTCGAATAAAAAATTGCCTAAAGCACTAGGTGGTAAATGGTAATGTAGATTTCTTTTAGTGAAAGAACTTTGAGAACCTGATCAGTTGTTTCAGAGATTACCCTCTACATCCAAACTTATAAAGTTTGTGAGCTCTTTATAACAGTTGTGTAGATTTTAGAAGTGATTCTTTTAAAATGGTATCACTTATAACAATATAAATTATTAGGTATGTGTTCAATTCTAAAACTCGATAAATTTTGTTTTTAACAAAAACTCAAGCAAAACATGTTTACATAATGTCACTCAAATGGAGGTAACATTTGTTTGTGATTTTGTGGTTTAAAGTAGAGGAGGAAAGCTTTAAACGAAATAACGCATATACATATATGTATGTATTTTCTTACAGAGGACAGGCCCGACTTGATAGCGATAACAGCTCTACCAGAATCGAACGTGTTCCGCAATATCGTAGGCAGCTTCAAAAAACCTAAGAAAGAATCTATTCACTCACTATCCTATTGCAAGACAAGTGATACTTCTTTTGCAAATGAAATTAATGGTAAGTCAAATGTACAATTGTACATCAATATGTCGGCTTAGGACTTATTTGTTCAAACCACCAATACTTGTTGTACTTTACAGAAGAGAGTTTTTGTATCTATTTTATAAAAAAAACTTTATTTCTAAGATTTTTCTATTAATATAGTAGATAAATAACACACACACACACACACACACACACACACACACACACACACACACACATACACACACACACTCACACATACATCATCATCATCATCTTATTGTTTTTCAGTTTTTATAAAATAGTTTAAATATTGTATGGAGGCGGGCGTGCAATCTGCAACGCAGTTTATACTTTTGCAGTATCATCGTAGCCATTGTTTTTTACTGTATACTTATAAGAATTGTTACTAAATAAATAAATTTCATTTCATTTCAATAATTCCGTTCCCGTGGGATAGGTTTGTTTTTGTTTTCCTAGAGGCCAACCCGATCGAAACGAAGGTGAGCCGCTAGCATACTATGTATATTTACATATATATATATATATATATATAGTACAATTATATATATATATATATATATATATATATATATATATAATATACTGTATCGCTTCATTGGCGTATGAAAGTTGTTATATTTGTTGTTTATTATATTCTATCTAATTTATACAATATTTTATGTTATACATAAGCAGCAGTATATAATACTTAAAATCGTCTTCCTGCACTTCAATTTCGCAATGCGTGTACATGTGTAGGTATAGTAGAGCGTAATTGTCACAGTCCGGATGCTCTAAGTATATCTGGATCGCTTTGTAAATTTTAACACTTGTTCACAAGTACATATTATATTTTTGTGTTTTGTATGGCAGTCGTAGAAGTACCTACATCACATATAATTATAATTATTGCATGTATAGCACATTAATAATACATAGTGTTGAACACTTCTTTTTTCGTTCATTTGAGATAGATTCAGTACAAAACAAGTAAGATTAAGAACTGCTGTTTACAAACATTAAAACATATAAAATCTTTATTGGAAATCGCATTGCAAAAAAACAACAAAGTCCTCAACTATACATATAACAAAATTCTAACTGAGTCGAATCTGTACATTCAATATTTTTTTGGAAAATCTTATTGAAATAGTCATTATTATCGATACGGAGACCGAATCTATAGTTTTTAGAATTTTTGTCTATCTGTCTGTCTGGTAACAGATTTTGATCAAATTCGGTATGATGATGGTTGTTTATCCGGTTCAACATTTAGGATTCTTTTTACTGCAGGAAAATATCTCATCTCTGAGATATCTATAACGTAGGGACGAACCCGAGTGGAGCGAGGGTGAGTCTCTGGTCTAAGATAAATTATCTATGCGGGTGGTGTTATACTTACTGTATAATAGTGCATAAATACGCAGGCGACCTCTTTTCCCTCATACGTAACGGTTGTACAATGTAAATGCTCTCCAGATACAATGGTCTAAAATCACCATCTTTCTAATTATGGATAGAACTTTTTCTCAGGACCTCACATGATCTATACCTATGTGTACATATTACATACTATATCATACCCGTATGAGTTAGCCAAGCCTAGTATAACTAGGCTGATGCTGCACATTCATCTTGCAATATTATTCACAAAATTACAAAAAATTAATAGTTGATATTTCAGTTATGTTCATAATTTTAATTTTTTAATGTTACGGCGGCGCTATTTCATTACTTAAAATATATTTTATTATATCCATTTTGTTAAACAGGTTCAGTAGGCAGGAAATTTCGTAGAAGTCTGTCTCAATCAAATGATACAGCGGTAGAGATCCGAGACGTGTCCGCCAGCTGGACCGGAGACCCAGAGTTTTTAGCTCTGAAAAACATTTCAGTGCGCATCCGGAAAGGGAAATTATGCGCCATCATTGGCGCCGTTGGATCTGGCAAGGTACAAAAAGAAGACTTTTAGCATTTACATTTTCTTTTATTATAGGATTAGTTACTTTTTTAACTATTCAACATTATTATATCGCCTATTCGGTTTTAAAAAGCTTAGAATGATTAGCCCAATCGAAGAAACGGAATTTTTAATAAGATAAAATGATTTCAAACATAAATACTTTTTTTAATATTATTATTTCTGAATGTGGCTATTAACTAATCCTGATTACTCTAAACTAATCTAAACATTCATAAAATATGTATATTATTATTTGCATACATATATTGTTAGGTATGTATGTTTGTAAATAATAATATTTTATGAATGTCATGAGCTATGTAGCTCTATATATATATATATATATATATATATATATATATATATATATATATATATATATATATATATATTACAATAAGATGAAAAATTTATACAAGTGTACCTACCTACTAACGTACATTGGGTTGGCATTTGATTCTGTGTTATCCTGTATGACCTTTGCATAAATTGCAATATGGAATATGTGGAGTTTGTCAAAGTTATGAATAATTCTGTGCGACTCTATTATATAAAAGTTTAATATATTGGGGAAAATACGTGTGGCTTTGAAGAGTTTTAAATCATGATTTTCAGGTCACTTGTTAAAATAAAATGAGTGCCATATATCTGATATTACATTACACTTCTATCAAAATTAGGATGCTCGAAATATTCTCTGCGTAATATATTACACTGGCGTATAATTAAACTAAGTGGAAGTAGAGTTGAAACAACAGTCGTATGCAGTTTTATGTAACTTGAATAGCAACATCAAAATGCATGAGGTTCAATTTGCAAACGGCTCATATTTTATACATCGCGTATGCATGAAAAATGGTAATTTTCAGTTCGGACTGAACAGGTAGTTCGTGAGGTGGGATAAATTCTATATTTATCTAAATTGTATATCAGATCCGCGGATACGGCACGTTAATAGACGTGCAACTGAAACATTTCGTTATTGAAAATAGCGCGTCTAAAGCAAATAAAGAAGCATAACAAATTTCAATATACACGCTAATTTTTTTAAACTATATACTGAACTTGTATAGAAATTGTCGCATATATTTCGATAATATTTAGATATTATTTATGTATTATATGTTTGTGTAATATACAAATACTTTTTATTGTAGGCACTGAATCAGTAGAATTCTACTATTACGTATGATAAAATTCGTAATAAGAACTAATAAATAAATTAAATCTCAGTCCGATTTGGTCTGCGGACAAATGTTAGCAGGAAGATGATTGAGACGTTAAATTCAATAAGTCGATAATAGAATTTAAAATATACAATATAAAGGCTTAATATGTTATCCGTTTGCAATGTAAAATTCCTTTTTTTCTCCAGTCGTCCATACTGCAACTTCTACTGAAAGAATTACCGGCGAGTAGTGGCACCGTGTCGGTGTATGGCGATGTGTCCTACGCGTGCCAAGAGGCGTGGCTTTTCCCTAGTACTGTTAGGGAAAACATACTGTTTGGACTTCCTTATGATGCAGAAAAATATAAGAAGGTATGGATTTGATTATATTATCTAATATTTTGACGACCATCTGGCGTACTCGTATGTATTTTGAATTAAGGGACTGAGGTACCGCTCGAAATCTTGCTATTACTTTATACGTAGATATTACAATAATAGGTATTGTAAGTAAAAATAAAGTGTTTCCGCTTTTAAAACATTAAATGTAATTATATCAGCGACAAGACAGCGAAAGCTGTACTCTCACGCTTAATGTTTAGTCTATAAATAGATACATATCTTAAGTGTTGGTGCGCATCCGTCATGTTATTATGAGAAATTATAAGATTAAAGTAATAAAAAATTAAAATAGGTAAAAATAAATATTTTTTATAAAAATATAATATTTTAAATAACCTTTTATTTAAATCAATTTTCCTATGATTTAACTAATTCATACTCGTATATCTATTTAAAATATTTTCATTTAATATAGATAGATTGGTATAAAAAATTGTATTATTCTAAACAAATAAAGTACATAGTAATTTCCTGTGAAGTATTTTTATTGTATGTTAAGAAGCATTTCTTTAAGGACTTCATTTAAAAATCATTTACGATACTTGAATCAAACAAAAAAAAGTTTAGATAGGATCTATTGAATTGCTTTCATCGAACATCCAAACTATTTAGTATGCTAGCATCAAATTAAGGATTAGCAAACGAAACTTTTGATGTATTCCAGGTATGTCGGGTGTGCGCTTTAGAAAAGGACTTCAAGCAGTTTCCGTACAGCGACCAAACGCTAGTGGGAGAAAGAGGGGTCTCCCTCTCGGGAGGGCAACGCGCGAGAATCAATTTGGCAAGAGCCGTCTATAGAGAAGTAATTGTTTTATTTTTTACGCCAGCTTTACACCGGTCAGAATGGCTATAGTCATATTCTCTGTTCAGTGCTTCCAATTTCAACGTTATTGGTTTTGTTTCTATAGGCATTTAGGTATATAGTGACATAATCAAGTGGATTTATGTTTTTAGTTTTATATTAAACTAGCAGAACCCGCGGCTTTGCTCGCGCTAAAAGTTACAAAAAAAAACTAAAAAGATAGTTTCATACAAACTTTTATCCCCTATTTTATCCCCTTATGGGATGAATTTCGAAAAATGCTAAAACACTTAATTATTTAATTTTATTGAAAAGCAATAATACCAAGTTTCAAGTAATTCTTGTTATAAATATTTTTTTGGATTGTATTATAACGTTTACATAACAATACACATAATACATAACAAATTACGTAAACGTTTACATGTGGGAATTAGGTAATCTCCTGCGGTAAAAAGTAGCCTATGTCACTCTCCAGCGCTCCAACTATCTTCACTCAAAAAAATCACGCCGTACCGTCACTCCGTTTTGACGTGAAAAAAGGACAAACAAACAAACAAACAAACAAACAAACAAATAAACCAACAAACACACTTTCACATTTATAATATTAGTATGGATATAGGAAGATTGTAATTTGTAAGTAACTTTAGCTTGAAGGACAAAAATTGTAGCAGATATAAACTCGCAATGAAATATATTTCTCATAAGCGTTTTGTCTTTTAGGTCGACATCTTTCAGTTTTTCAAAATTAATTATAATGATATATTACTTATCTTGCAGTCATATACTTATATTAAATTATATAATAAACTAGCATTGCCCGCGGCTCCGCCCGCGTTCAGATGACCAAAAACCAAATTCTTAGGTATTACATATCAGTATACTCTTACATTGCAGTTTTTGTATTTTTTCTCAGAAATGAGATATTTTCCCGCGGTAAAGTGTCTTATATGTTGACCCGGATAACTAGCTATCATCATACCAAATTTCATCAAAATCTGTCCAGTGGTTTTCTCGTGATGCGGTAACAGACAGACAGACAAAAATTCTAAAAACTATAGATTCGGCCTCTGTATCGATAATGATGTCTATTTCAATAATATTTTCCAAAAAATATTTAATGTACAGATTCGGCTTAGTTACAATTTTATTATATATGTATAGATATTCCCCTTGGAAATGTCATATATCATTTTGTAATTTACCGACAAAAAATAGATACAGACGAACATAGAATTTTCTCCTTTTTAGTCGATTAAAAATATTACTTATCAACGATCACAGCAGAACATTCATACCACAAGTTATGTGGACGATTTCTTTTCCGATCAAATATTTGAATTAAACATTTAAATATTTGTCAAAATTTGGACACAATTTTAATTCAAATAATTTGCGGACTTTTATAAAGAAAACACTATTAGAAATAGAATGGTTATGTTATATTAATAAAAAATATAATAATATATAAGATATTATATTTCTGTAACAATTTATTTATTTATTATATTACAGGCCGATATTTATTTGCTAGACGATCCTTTGTCAGCCGTGGACGCAAACGTGGGCCGACAGCTGTTCGAAGGCTGCATCAGTACATATCTTCGTGGAAAAACCCGGATTCTGGTCACACATCAGATTCATTTTCTCAAGGCTGCTGATTTTATTATTGTCTTAAACGAGGTACATAAATATTATAATTTATGATACGTTCCTGTGTTCGACTATTAAAACTAAAATACTTATACGTTAAAATATTATGGATTTTAATGAATAAAAATGCAGTAAAGTATGTATTTACAATAAAGTTCGACAGTTTTACGATTCAAATACCGAAGAAAAATTTGTATTTAAAAACTATTTCATATATGTATAATAATTAATTATAAGAATTATATTAAATGTGATATCAACTTCTAGGGAGGCATTGAGAATATGGGAACATTCGATGAGCTTGTTTCATCAGGAAAGGAATTCGCCCAATTATTGTCTGCAATACAAGAAGGAAAAGACAAAGATAGCGACAGCATCGGTTCAGGAGTAAGTCTTGCTGCGCTAAACTTTAGTTCAGTGATTGGGATTCCAAGCTCTTACTGTTGCAATTTGAAATATAGATTTCACACAAAAGTCACTTTAAATAGTTCACGCATAGGATTTGATTGACACAGTAAGACAAATTAAATCACTGAACACACTACTCCACCACTAATTCCACTAGCACTATCACTGCTTATCACTTTTTCGAAAATGTTATAAATATTGTTAGAAAGGAAGATACTTTTCAGTTACCTTTACACTTTTTTCACGTAAAAACTTCTGCATAAACCAATTATAATGGCTACATTTATGAAAATAAAATAAGTATTTTGTTTTATTACCATCCATATTTCTTGTAATCTTAGTTTACGGTAATGCTTTAAATATATATTTACACTAGCGACTTACACTCGCTTAGCTCGAGTTCGTCTCTATTTAGGTTTTAACGTTTAGTATAGATTTCTCAGAGATGGGATATTTTCCCGCAGTAAAAAGTATATTATATATTAACCCAGATATCTATCATCATATCAAATTTCATCAAAACTTGTCCAGTGGTTTTCTCGTGATGCGTTCTCAGACAGGCAGACAAACAGACAGACAAAAATTCTAAAAAATATAGATTCGGCCTATGTATCGGTAATAATAACTATTTCAATAAGATTTTCCAAAATATATTTGATATACCTATAGATTCGACTCGGTTAGATTTTTATTATATGCATAGAATAGAATATATAATAATAAGAAGATGATAATACAACTCTTAAATGGTTTCAGAGATCGGAAAATAAAGAAAAGCTCGTTTTACTAAAAGCCATATCTGTCACTGAATCAGAGGATACTCCAGATTTTGAGGCACAAAAAATGGCTGCTGAAGAGAAACAATCGGGAAGTTTGCGTTGGGAAGTTATTTATGGATACTTTACAGCTGGAGGAAGCTTGTTTTTTTTATTGTTCAATATTAGTATGATTCTTTTAACGACTGCGAGTGCATCTAGTGCGGATTATTGGGTTAGCTACTGGTAAGTTTTATTGTATAGTTCAAACAATCCACAATATGAAATTTTAATAGTACTATACGTTCATCATTTTAAGGTAGAGTAAGTGAAATAAAAAAATCATTAAATTAAATGTACAAAACTTATATCTAGCAAAAAATAAAATAATAATATCTTGATATATAATATTTTAAGGCATATAATGTTATTTAATGCAAGTAAGACAAAATATATTAATATACAGTTAAAAGACATTAAAGCTACGTTTGTGATAGAAAATATATCTACCGAGATATTTTTTTTACGATTACATTTTGAGGGATAGTACGTTCTGATTTGACACAGTGCCGGATATTGTTAAGGACTATAATTACGTCATCAAAGGAAATCGGCCGTTTTATGTTTAATCACGCATCACTCAAGAGCGACTAGACGGATTTCATTGGAGATTTTTATTGTATAGGCATCAGTCTAAATTAATAGCATAGCTGAGTTTTATTTCGATGGATTAAGTAAACTGCAAGATAAGATAGCTTGAGAACTCGTTGATCGTTGTGTTTAATAAGATTCTTATTTATTTGTATTCTTGTATTCAGCCCTTGTTAAAGTCCCTCTGCTGGGCACGTTCCTTCAATATGAGGGGGGATCAGGCTATATTATTCGTAGTGCCCTAAATTGATCAAATTCTCGGACGAAGCCATTGAAAGAATTTAATTATTAATATTTAATGTATTAATAATTAGATTAAGTAACTTTAAATAATATAATAACTGCTTGTTAGTTGTTACGCAAAGTCACAGTATCTCTCTAGTCGTTTCACCAGAATGAAATAAAAACTAAAAAATTTCTTCATGAATAAATAATTGACACGTGTATAAACAAGTTTTAGGTAATATCTAAGGTTTCATTTTCCGTTCATTGTTAGTTCACACAAAGCAAGAGAAAATGACATAACAGCAAGGTTCGCAGCCGCGGAACAACTAACACTTGACCTTTGAAGCCGAACAAACAATGCGAGGGCAACTTCTAAGTTTTGGCTCAACCCTCACGATAGGTTTCAAGCTTTACTTTATATTCTTTCTGTTTATTTTACTCAAACATAAATACAAATCAAGTGCCGTATTTTATTTTATTGGAAGTGCAAAGATTTATCATATTGTATTTGCTAGCCGATTATTTATAACAAAATTTTATAGTAATTCTGAAAATGTTAACTTTACGATTATTTAGGACATACATATACGTCCCATTCAGACGGGAGAGTTTCCGCTCGATTTAGTGGGTAGTACTTGCTTTTCTAGCAGATGAATCTCACATACCCACTTGTACGAGTATATGTGCAAGTGGCAGATGAGAAATGTTTCTAACATTTGCCTACGTTAAAAAAACGACTATAAAACACTAGATGTAGTTCAATATCTACTATACCAAAATAAGTATTTATGTTCATGTATATTTTAAAATGAAACTATCTTTTCGCAATTTATTGCTGTTCTATTTTACATTTTGATTCCCGGCGTTCAAATGCTTTACAGCAAACACGGTTACAGGAGAGACTAAGGTTTTAGACGTCGTCGTGTCTCAAAAAGAATAGATAGTTTAATTTTAAAATGTTAAATACTTGCGTAAATATAAGAGAGTATTATGTACTTTAAAATAAAAGACAATTTATGATCAAGTATGCGAGTATCATACTAAAAAAACACGTATGTACTTATTCTTAACTAGTTACAACTATTTCCAATATGGCCTAACTTAAAAAACATTAAAATCGATAAGAACGCAACCTACAAGGAGGGTCTACAAAGAAATTGAACTTTTATTGATATCACGGAAAAAAGAAAGCAACAAAATCGAATTACAATGTAATAATTTTATACTTTCTCGGTCGTTACCTTGAGAACTGTAGGTAAAAATCATAATTCAATCAAAATAGTTCATAAAAACAAATAGGTATAATGTCACAATTTTTCTATCATGAATGGGGATCGAGTTATTGCAATAAATTGACACAAATTATTAGATACTAGATACGAAGAAAAACTTAAACACTATAACTTGAAAACTTTACGCCAAAGATGCGACTTTTTACGACTCATGTTTGTTTTTAAATTAGTTAATAATTATTTTAAATAAAACTATCTTTTCGGATTTTTTCGCGAATTTATTTTGATTTTTGGTTCCCGACGTTACGAATGCTTTACAGCAATCATGGTCACGGGAGAGACTAAGGTTTTAGATGTCTCAAAGGCATTATATAGTTGTTACAGACAACTCTTATCTGATCGATCGAAGGCAATGGTAGCCCAGTGGTAATGCGCTCGCTTGGGAAACCGAGTGAAGCGGGTTCAAATCCCGGGTCTCGCACCTCTGATATTTTCATGTGCGAATCATTTCTAACATGATTACCCCTTGCCTTACGGTGAAAGAAAACATCGTGAGGAAATCTGCATGTATGAGAGAACCTAGCAAGTTTTCGAAAGACATGTGAAATCCGCCAACCCGCACTTGGCCAGCGTGGTGGACTATGGTCTGATCCCCCTCGTATTGAAGGGAGGCTCGTGCCGAGCAGTGGGACGTTAAAAAGGGCTGAATACATACATACATACACCAAAATTACCCTGTTTTTATTTCTGATGAAAAACATTGTTTTAGGTCTAACCAAATGGCATTATATGAAGAGGAAATTGGTTCAGGAAATATGGGTAAGTTGGATCGAATGATAATATGAAATGCAAGGTTGGCAACTCTCACAATGCAACTTCAAAACGTTAAAATTATTACAATTCGTTAATATCTTGTATTTAGGTTTGAACTTTTTCTTTTTATTCGTTTTCGAATTATTTTATTATTTCTTAATGTCGTAGCTAGTAGGTATTTTAAAATTATAAGATTCGAAAGAGGGTAGTAAGTACTACTTATCAAAAAATATATAGTACCTACTAAAAAGATTTATATACTCTTTGAGAGGGAGATATGAGGAATGAAATTGCTTTTATCAGAGATATACTGTAATATTGCTAACGTAACACGATGTATGTGATGCATGTAAAATTTACAAAGCACAACGCGCGAAGTGTGAATTTCATAAAGGATAGTAAAATTGACTGACTTTTGTATGGAAATATAGTAATAAAATTTTAGTGACCTTAAAATAATATGCGATACAATTCATACTAATATATAATTGCGAAAGTAACTCTGTCTGTCTGTCTATCTGTCTGTCTCTCTATCCGTCTGTCTGTCTGTTACCTTTCACGCTTAATCCGCTGAACCAATTTAGACGAAATTTGGTATACAGTTTGAGACCCTAGGAAGAACATAGGATAGTCTTTACGCTTAAAATCATCTCTTAAGGAGGTGAAAAGGGGGGTGAAACTTTGTATGAGGTATATAGGTGTCAAAAAACGAACCTGAGCGAAGCGAGGGTGAGCCGCAAGTATTTTTATCAATGTTAAAACTTAAATTATTAAAATGATTTCTATGTAAATCATACTTACTACTATATAAATGCGAAAGGTTGGAGGATGGATGTTTGTTATTCAATCACGCCAGAACGGCTAACGGATCTGGATGAAATTTGGCACAGAGATAGATTAATATAGTCTGGAATAGTACATAGTCTAATTTTTATCCTGGAAAAATGTACGGTCTCGTGGGATAGATTTGTTTTTTTTTCACTAGGGATGAACCTGAGCGATGCTGAGCGAGTGACCCGCTAGAATTTTATTTTAAAAAATGACATGACATAAAGAGCTTTTAGATTAATAATTATTATTAATAAGCTCACAATATTTTCTTTTAATAGATCCAAGTCTCGATAAACAAGTCGGGCTGTTTACTACGGGCCAGTACATTATGATACACGGAGCAATCGTGGCAGTAATCATTCTCATGACGCACCTGCGAGTAATACCATTTGCCAATCTCTGCGTGAATGCGTCACAAAAACTTCATGATTCAATGTTCTCTACCATGATTAAAGGTATCATGAGGTTTTTTGACACCAGTTCTTCAGGTAAGCTTATGTTGTATTCTGTAGGTATATAAGTTACATACTAAAAATATTTATAATTTTGAAATTAACTATTAGTGTTTGTACTATCTATATGAATAAAAATATAAATGTTCATTTGTGTGAAACCGCAAATCTCAAAATTTCTTCACCAGTTTCTTTTAAATTTTGATATATTATATGACTTTTTCACAAAGAGAAGTTATTATTCTATTCATTTTGGTGTAACTCGCCACAAGGTGATACTGGAGCGCATTACTCCTCACTGTTAATTGATCGCTATTTTAATTGGAATACAGGAAAATATTTTCGCGTCATCCTTTTACACAGTCGAAGCCGCAGGCAAAGACTAGTTGTAATATTGTTCGAATATTTGCTCAATTTTCTTTCCACTTCTGTTGTATCTTTCAGGTCGTATTCTAAATCGTTTCACAAAGGACATGGGAGCTTTAGATGAAACATTGCCGAGATCTTTACTCGACGTATTTCAAATTTATGGTACTTTACTATTCATATTAGTACTCAACGCAATAGTGTTATATTGGACATTAATACCTTCTTTCGTGTTGATGGTTTTCTTCTTCTTTTTCGTAAAGCTATACTTAAGAACAGCTCAAGGAGTAAAAAGACTTGAAGGAACAAGTAAGTTGTTATAATATATTAACAGTATATTTGTAATTCTAAATAATTACATAGTAAAATATTACTTTACTAAATTTCTTTACTACAGATATTAATATTTTTCAGCAAAAAGTCCTGTGTTCGGTATGGTGACTTCTTCTCTGAATGGAATAGCGACGATCCGGTCCGCTGGAGCACAACAAAGACTTGTCGATGACTTTGATAATCACCAGGCAAGTGACGATAAAATAACACTTTTCTCGTTACTCTGAGGCTGTAGTTTGAAAGAACAACATGCTTGTACCTTACGTTGTAGCCTATGTGTTACTTCAGGTAATAGTCTATCTGTGTACAAAATTTCATCTAAATCCTTTCAGTCGTTTCAGCGTCAAAGAGAAACAAACATACTATGTGTGTGTGTGTGTATCTCTGTCACTACTTGATGCACACTTTCGTATGTATAATAAACTAGCGATTCACCCTCGCTCCACTCGGGTTCGTCCCTAGATTGCTTCCCAATACAAACTTTCATCACCATTTTCACCCCTTTAAAGGATGATTTCCGGGATAAAAAGTATCCTATGTCTTTCCCAAGGTCTCAAACTATCTTCTTATCATCTAAATTGATTCAGTAGATCCAGATATTACCCCCTAAGACCTCACAAACTCACAAAGATAAACTTTACCTCTTTATAACATTAGTATAGATTTATTATAACGTTTCACCATAAACATTATATAAATATATATTTCAATTACGTTTCAGGATCTTCATACATGGGCGTGGAATAGTTTTTTGGGCGGCGGCTGTGCTTTCGGCTTCTACTTAGATACAATGTGTCAAATTTATCTCACATGTATCATCTTTGTATTCTTATATATTGATTTCGGTGAGCTTTAAACCAAGTACCCACTTATAACAATTCAATAGAAGTTTAACATTACAGCAACAATCTCAAAAAAATGTCATATCTATAATACAATAATAAAAAATCTTTTATTGGAGCGTATATATAGGATACCTTCAAAACTTAGCTGAATGAAATATGTTAAACATCAAGAATCAACGTTTACGAGTTGCAGTTTTTGATAACTTATGTACAAAGTTCCTTAATTTTCAGGTGATATAATACCAGTGGGCAGTGTTGGGCTTGCGGTGACGCAAAGTAACATGTTGACGGCGATGTTACAGCATGGTGCACGTATGTTAGTAGAATTCCTGGCACAGCTTACTAGTGTAGAGCGTGTACTAGAATACACCAAGATCGAGACTGAGGCTAATCTATTTGATGGACGTAAGCGATGCTCCAACTTTTTACATAGTATTAGTATATCTTATTCGAAGATTGTAAGGTTATATATAATTTTTATTCATATTAAGTATTCATTAATTTAATTATATACAGATTAAATTTAAAATTGAAAACATTGAACTATTTATGAATAATAAGATATTAGTTTATACTTTATATAGCAAAATTGTATAACAAGCATGTTTATTTTCAGAATTAGCTCTACCACCCTCTTGGCCTGATCAAGGGCGAATTACATTCCAAAACGTTAACCTTAAATATGCAATGGACGCAGATCCAATATTGAAGAATTTAAATCTTAATATAGAAAGTGGATGGAAGGTATATTATTTATGAAATTAAGCTATAAAGCATTTAATAATAAATAAAAAAAATCCTATTCAAATATTTTAATGCATTGTAGATAGGAATCGTTGGGAGAACGGGAGCTGGTAAATCGTCTTTAATCTCAGCAATATTCAGATTTGCTTTCATTGAAGGAAAAATATTGATAGACGATATTGATACGTCGCAAGTATCTAAGCAGGTAATTAATTAAACAAAACATACAAATTATTTTTAACTAATCAAACGAACATAAAATGATGATAAAATGATGATTAATAATACTGTTAAACTGACTATTTTCAGGAATTAAGATCAAAAATCTCAATTATACCACAAGAACCAGTACTTTTCTCAGCAACAATCAGATACAATTTAGATCCTTTTAACATTTATAGCGACGATGAACTGTGGAGAGCTTTAGAACAGGTTTGTAAAGCTACATTAAAAAAAAATGGCAATCGTTAAGCAGTGTTTTAATTTTCATAAATATGTTTAGGTTGACATGAAATCCGCTGTGCCTTCTTTAGACTTTAAAGTAACTGAAGGAGGAGCAAACTTCTCAGTCGGGCAAAGACAACTTATGTGTCTGGCTCGAGCTGTTCTGAGGTCTAATAAAATTCTCATAATGGATGAAGCCACTGCTAATGTAGACCCTCAGTAAGTTTTAAATTTTCTTCCGATTTTGATTTTTATGTGAAGTCTCTATTCTAATATTTTATACAAGCGACTCACCCTCGCTTCGTTCCGGTTCGTCCCTAGGTACGTATTATTTTTTTCGAGCGGAACCCTAATTCTTTTCTAAAATAAAAGTAACCTATGTTACTTCCTATAACATCAGCTATCTTTCAGTGAAAGTCCCGTCAAAATCAGTCCAGCCGTTTCAGAGATTGTCCGGAACAAACAGACAAAAATTTAAAAATTGTGTTTTTCTTATAAGTACCTACCGTATATAATTTCATAAGCATTTAGTAAAACGCTGTTATTTTAACATTACAAACAGGCACTTCAATTTTATTTATTGGTATAGATAGATAATCTAATATTTTTCTACAGGACTGATAGTTTCATTCAACAAACTATTCGTCGTCAATTCGCCTCGTGTACGGTCTTGACAATCGCTCATCGTCTCAACACTATTATGGATTCTGACAGAGTGTTAGTAATGAGCGGCGGGGAAATTGTTGAATTCGATCATCCTTACATCCTCCTCTCCGATGAAAATAGTCACTTCACGTCCATGGTGAAAGAGACCGGCGAAACGAACAGTACAAAGTTATTCGAAATCTCAAGAGATACATATTTTCAAAGTAACCTTAAGGAGAACGCAGAATGATGTAGATCCTTAAACTTAAAATCTTTATAAAAATTTCGAAATGATTGTTTTATTACCTAAAGTTAGTAAATTTATTCATTTATTACATTTCATATGCAATATATATGTATGTACTCGAATGTAATAAAATTTGTATAGATCAATCTTTTGACCTAGATAAAACTGTGATTAATGTAATAAGTGAATTATTATTAGTGTGATAAGATAGAGATAGATAAAAACATATTTTGTATGAAATATATATTTTTTAAATTACCTTCTTTTTATTTATGCAAACATACAAATCAAACGCCGTCATGGATGATAACATCGGTAGACTCGGTATAATAAAATAAGAATAACTAGAATTAAACCCACATAAAACCCGTAGACCTTATGATCTTCAAAAAAAAATTTCCATTTAAAACGTGAACATACTTTACAGCAACTCATTGTGATTTATTGAACACCTTAATGGGTAGACTTAGTTTATCTAAAATGAATTTTCACAAAGTTTTGAGTTTTAATGTATAAAATTGAAAACCAAATGTCGTTCTGACCATTTCTTTGATCTTATAGAGGCCAGCCAACTGCGCTGGAGATATTCTAGTACACAAGTATGGGAAATTATTAACAGAATACTCAATAATTCAACTTTGCCCGACCAGGGATTCGAATCCACATCCGGATCTGTAGCAGTACATTCTAGAATATATATAATAAAGAATAGCTGTGATCATGAATGTAATTGAACGTTAGAAACGTATTTGAATTTATTCTTTTTTATAAAAAAGGAATTCATTTTATTACAATTGGGTGATTGTACTACGCATACTGTGATAATGTCGTAACAAAGTTTATTGGCATCACGCCCGATAGTTACTTAAATTATGTATATTATGTTCTGTTTTAGCACATTCAAATGGCTCTAAACTCATGTTATTTTATGAAATACTAGCATTTCCCGCGGCTCCCCCCGCGTTCAGATGACCAAAAACCAAATTCTTAGGTTTTACATATTAGTATTATCTTACAATGCAGTTTTTGTATTTTTTCTCAGAAATTAGATATTTTCCCGCGGTAAAAAATATCCTATATGTTGACCCGGATAACCAGCTATCATCATACCAAATTTCATCAAAATCTGTCCAGTAGTTTCTCGTGACGCGGTAACAGACAGACAGATAAAAATTCTAAACACTATAGATTCGGCCTCTATATCGATAATAATGTCTATTTCAATTTGATTTTCCAAAAAATATTTAATGTACAGATTTGATTTAGTTACAATTTTATTATATGTATAGGTTTTAATAAAACAACATAATATATTATGAATTTACTGCATTGACAAAGAAAAAAGCTAAAGATAGGTAAAAGATTGTACCCACGAAATTTTTTGCCTTTTTTATTAAAGATTAATAAATGCATTTTAAATAATGAATTACATATGTTACGTACATATAGCTCATGGTATAACTAATATGTACTTAAGTCATTGGCGTTGTCTTCAGTATATTAAAAAAGGAAACTTACAACGTATTTCCCAAAGAAAATTAGCATCTTTGGTATACTTGATGCTTATACAACGATCAGCATAGGTACAGGATCAGCATTCCAGATATTTTCAGCACGTGTGGATTTTTAAACATAGGCACCGTCTTTTCACAACAACAAGTCTGACTCCCACAGCAACCCCTTATAAATATTTGATTTAATCATTTAAATAATGCATGATTGTATAAGGAATTTTTATTTTATTACTATAAAGTATAAGGAATTAATTTCTGCCATTCTCACGGAAAAATTTTGAGTGACATTTGTGTTATAAATCCTTATTGTTATCATGTATGTAATAGAGTTTTACTTTTTAATTCTGAGAATATTGTAAAACCACTCAATGAGGATGTTCCGGTATTCGTAACTACGAGCATTGCTTAGAAATTTAGGTATTTTTCTTAAATATACTTTTTCTTAATATTAATATTATTACAATTCATTTAAACATAATATTGCTCAAATTTCTTTTCGAAGTTATCTTACAATATAAGCTTTAAAAATGAACAAACATTTAAAAGATTATAACTCTCAAAAGATTATATTAAAGATTACGGCTATCTTAAAATCTCAACTGAGATTTATATTCGGATTTATCGAAGTTCTTGTGGCAAAGATAAAGGTAAGAAGCGAGGAGTATCATTCAAGAGGATCAAAGTTTCCTTTGGTCTTAAGGGAAACCTTCCATTTCTGACATCTTGTAAGTGACATAGTTCAACATTTTTTCTACATAATAAATATACTTTAATATTAGATGTAACAAATGAAAAACTATTTTAAATTTATAGAATAATAATTAATTTTCATCGACTATAAAGTATTAAAACTAAAAAAAACACCTGTACATTTCATTTACAGGAGCTATGTATCTAAACAAAAAAATATGTTCACATAAAATTCTTTTATTCTTCTTCATAGTTAAAAAATAAGAGACCTTTTGATCTATTTACATTTATAGAATACAATTTAAACTACGTACATCGGATAGCTTTCCGAAAATTCGGTTGACGGATAAGAATCTTTAAACAAAAGCAAAAAGCGAGGTAAGTCGCTAGGTTTTATATAAATCGCTACAAATTTTAACCTTATTTTGAATTTTCTATGTAAAATAAAAGATATTGACACTCGTTTTACTTGATTTATTTCAAAATAATCTCCCAAATGACTTAATATTCAACAATACTAGAATTTTTTAAATATCACATCTAAAATTACCTAAGCCTTAATTTGTTGCTGCTGAATACTTTTGTTTAGCAATTTCATACAATTGGCTACTCATACTTTCTCCAGTTTCCTTGACCATAAAGTTGAGTAAGCTATTTGGATTAGAGAGCAATAAGTGAGGATGATCAAACTCCGCGACACGACCGCCGTCCATCACGAGGATGCGGTCAGAGTCCATGATAGTATTAAGGCGATGTGCAATCGTTAGTACCGTGCAATCGGCAAACTGATGTCTAATCGTCTGCTGGATAAGAGCATCCGTTCTGAAAAAAAAACATATTATTTTAATTCTTATAAAAACTACATTTACATATATCATCTCATATATTTATAGCATATTAACGTATAGTATGGATTTCTCAGAGATGAGATATTTTCTCGCAAAAAAAGTTATTGTAAGTTGACCCGGATGTATCATCATACCAAATTTCATTAAAACCTATCCACTGGATTAAACGTGATGCGTTCCCAGACAGACAGATGGACAAAAAAATCTAAAAAATATAGATTCGGCCCCTGTGTCTACAATAATGACTATTTCAATAAAATTTTCCAAAAAATATTTAATGTACAGATTCGATTCATATTAGGCAAATTATATATATATATATATATATATATATATATATATATATATATATATATATATACATAACTTGCTAGTAATATTTGATTTATCACAACTTTAAAATCACTATGTTTAACTAAGGCTAACTTAAAAGCAACACAAATAAATTAATTTCTAATATATATTATAAAAATGTAAGGCATAATTAGTAGCAAAAAGTTATATAACTAACTTATGTAAACTTAAGTAAAAGGTTTAATAAAAGCAGCAATATTACAAACTCAACCTATAAAATACTGAGACAAGAGCGCGAAACACAGCACGATAGCTAGTGCCAGATATTATAAATCACTGTGACATAGTTTGTTAACGCTCTATGTAGAGGGAGAACTAAATTATTATGCTATATTTAAATGACTCTATCATCCATACTAACATTTTAAATAGGAAAGTGTGTTTGTTCGTTTGTCTTTCTTTCTTTTACGTCGAAACGAAGTAACGGATTGGTGTGATTTTTTGTGCCGAGATAGTTGAGATGGCTGGAGAGGGACATAGGCTACTTTTTACCGCAGGATATTATACACGTGATAATATTATTCAATAAACTATTTATAATCAGATTTACTTGAAACTTTGTATTAGTGTTCTTCAATAAAATTAAATAAATACGTGTTTTAGCATTTTCCGAAATTCATCCTATAAGGGGGTTAAATACGGGAGTAAAATTTGTATAAAACTACCTTTTTAGAGATTTTTTGCAGTTTTAGCGCGAGCGAAGCCGCGGATTCTGCTAGTATTTTTATAAATTACTTATGCATAGCGCAATATATTTTTGTTCTCTATACAGGTGTACTAGTAACATGTTCATAGTTTCGAACTAACTAGTGTCCTCTAGAAACTTCAAGTATTGGGATAAAAATTATATCTTATCCGTTAACCCAAAATACTCTTTAAATGTTATTTTATAGCTATAGATGATTGTAATATTATTATAAACAAAATACCAAATTAATACTTGAATGAGTAAAAATGTGTCAACAATGTTTAGAATAAAATTATTACCTTATTGTACTACTGCTTTATTCTAAAAGTAAATCTAAAATTCTAGAAACAAGCCTGCCCATTATATAAAATTAGGGCAGTTAAAACATAAAAATATAATTCACTATATCTTTACTTATTTTCTATCTAATATGCACCCTTATATAAAACAAAATTTATCAAAGGCTACCATTACATATCCGTTTGAGTTATTGAGATATTGATTTCCCCAGGGCTGCTAAGTCATGTTAGTGGCAATCGAATAAAGTTGTACTAATATTTTTATTATTTTCTAGAAAGAAATTTATTTATATATAATACTAGCATTTCCCGCGGCTCCACCAAAAACAAAATTCTTAGGTTTTACATAATATTAATGTACTCTTACATTGCAGTTTTTGTATTTTTTCTCAGTTTATTTCGATAAGATTTTCCATAAAAATGTAATGTACAGATTCGGCTTACTTACAATTTTATTATATGTATAGATATATTATGTATAAAGTTTCTTAAGTAGATTTATCCGGTGATGACTATACAGACGTTTGTCGTTTTAGTTTTGACGCAGTGTTAGGGTGGTTTTCCACCGGGAGAATTTCTTTGCTCAGTCAATTTATCCAAAATTAAAAGATTGAATTTCTTTGATGACTGCATCAAATGTTGTGACACATTGAAGTGATTTTTTTGTTGCTTGGGTCGAATCGAAAATTATCTACGTAGACTGTACTAAGTAATCGTGATAGTGAACAATGATTTTTTTACAAGTGGAATACCACATTTTAGAATTGCCACTTTTTTCGTATTGCTGCTAAACAATTAGCAATAAAACATATTGTAGTGTTTGTGTAAATATAATATCTATAGTAATTGTTGTTTACACTGTCTCGTGCTCACGGTATAGCGGGTAACGCAGCCCGGCGTGAGCCACAGGCGAGAACGGATGTGTCATTTACGTATACCATGTGTTGACGAGCCAGTGAAGTGACTGATACGGAGTATATTACACATATCAATTGGAACTTGTCCTATCGTTCTTTCATGATACGACATTAAATCATACAAATATTATAAAATCTTTTTTTTATATATTTAATGCCACAATATTATTATAAGTACCTACTTAATATTATTTTAATAATCTACTCACTGAGGGTCAACATTAGCGGTTGCTTCATCCATAACGAGTATTTTATTGGAGCGCAAGATGGCGCGCGCGAGGCACACGAGCTGACGCTGCCCCACCGAGAAGTTCGTGCCACCCTCTGTTATCATGTAATCGAGCGCTGGTATCGTATCTTTTAGCTCCACCTAAAAAAACATTATTCAAAATTAATATTTTACGCAGTTTTTATATCAACTACAGAGTTCTTTATGTTTATTAATTTACTAGCTGATCTAACAGCAGTTGTCCTGTTCCAGTTTCAAGTTTTAATTTATTTAGCTCTTTAACTTGATATAAAAATTATATAGGAATAAAGCACTTTCAGAAACTCCCAAATTTTTTGAAATTTTCCAAAAAAAAATCCTGAAAACTACTCAGCCTATTATAAAAATTAAAAAAAAAAACAAATTGGTCGAGTCGTTGTTAAGTGATGCGCTTACCAACCACAAAGAAATATACAAAAGAAAATGTCAACAATAGATGATGCACAGTAGGCGGCCTTATATTATAATCGATATCTTCTAGGCAACCTTAGGGCGTAGGAAAAGTTATACGAAATGGTAGGCGATGAACTTGCTACACACAAATGCATATCCTAAATACATACATACATCTACCATGCTACATACATACATACGTTAATTTATTTAAACAGCAACATTTATAGTCTTTTAAACATTAATAAGTATAATAACTTTGAATATTTATTTCTTATATTTGTTACTTGTGTTGTGCTTTAGACCTAAAAGACTACTGTGGTTACGACTATATAAAATTTTAGTATATTATATAAACCTCTCATTTCGTTAAACATATTTACATAGTAAACTTAAGCATTAAGCAAAACTACTGATGGCGCGGTATTTCGTAATTAAAATTCCAGTAGGGCTTGACATTTGACCTCTGAAACTCGTATTGCAAACAGCGGAAAGCGTAAAGCGTAAAGCTTTGCCATAAATTATATTATTCGTATATTTCCGACAAATATTAAAAATTATAATTTCATTGATTGATAATGGTCGAGTACATATTATATGTTGAAGATAATGTCACAAGTTCAATTCTTAATTTCATAAAATATTATAGATAGTGAGTGTCGAAATACTTGATTTTAGCTAATGATTTTGGGATGTCAAAATGTAACGGCTTTACAATCTATGTACCATTCATATTCTGTAAAATACTAGTGACTCACTCTCGCTTCGCTTCGGGTTCGTCCCTAGGCAAAACAAATCTATCCCACACAGACCGTACATTTTTTCGGGATAAAAAGTAACCTATGTACTATTTCAAAACATAATCTATCTCTGTGCCAAATTTCATCCAGATTTGTTCAGACGTTCTGGCGTGAAAGAGTAACAAACATCCATCCATCGTCACAAACTTTTACATTTATAATATTAGTATGGATAATATGGATTATTGCAAGTGTACCTTAAGATCTAGACACGTATACTATTGCAGACTCTTCTGTAGGCCTTTGTAACACCTACAGTTTTCTAGTACAGAAACAAAGCGCGGCGGGAAGCTACATGTCCAAATAACATAGAGTAAAGAACCAAAAATATTTCCATTACATAATTGTGAAGATGAACTTAGTTATTTTGATAAGGATAACTAATGTTGATAATATGACCAGTTAAACATTGATTATGATTTAGTACATAAAAGAAGTTTTTGTGGCTTAAATATAGAAGTTAGATATATGCTGTCGAGGACTTTTTTTTTGTAGCCTTTCTTAAGCTCTACGACTTTTCTGTAGAAATCAATTATATATATCTCTTACCGTTAAAGCAGTGTTCGTGAGAATCCCCCCGCACGTGCGTTCACCTTGTCGTGGTGGGGGGGCTCAGTAGTGCCCGGCAATCCAACCGGGCGCGAAGCTAAGAAACGCACAGGGAGGTTGCCCACTTCGGTGGGTGGTGGGAGGTGGCCCTCTTCGGAGGGAGGTGTACCATGCGGGTTGCTCCTGGTACTTCTCTGACAGCAGAGTGGACTGTGGAGCAACCCCATGGTTGTGGTGGTCTGCTTCGGCAGACCTGCCGTCGAGGTGTCGTAGTTGAATGCGTAAGCGATCCTGCGACGCCCCATTAAGACGGGGGAAGGTTTTGTTGGGTTTTAGTGGGTAGTACTGGCTGTATTACGCCGGTGAGTCCCACACGTCGTGCGTAAATGCATTTCCCAACGTTAAAAAAAAAAAAAAAAGTGTTCGTGAGAAACGCTTTGATTCAACCGTTTTTCGTCGATTTACAAATTAGATTAACACGAAAAAGCCTTTTTATTTTACGAGATAATAAAAAACTTAGGCCATCCTGATACTCCATTCTAAATATTGGTGAAAGAATTTTTTAAATGGGATGAGTATAGTTTCGAAGATTACCTCCTACATCCAAACTTACAAATTTTACCTTTTTATAATATAAGTATATACTGATACATACAGTTATAGTATGATTTTAGATAATACAATGTTGCTACTAAATTTTTATGACCTTGTTATGTAGATATGAAAACCATATTATGCAAAGTATATGCATTATAACACGGTTAAAATTGGACCCAGTTATGCAAAAAACAGCCATGTGCGTAAAAGTACCAACAGAGTTATAAGCATTTTTCTGTTGATAGTTGCACTTGGGTTATGTTTTGTTTTTGTGGTTATTTTAAAATTGAACAATATTTATATAAGTATTGTTTATTTTTTATAATAAAATGCTTATAACTCCGTTGGTACTTTTACGCACATGGCTGTTTTTTGCATAACTGGGTCCAATTATGCCTATTTTATTTGTACAAAGTCGTAAACATCAATAAAATAAGACTATTAAGCGTATATTATCTACTTATATACTATAAAATATATAAAGGACACTCGACTTCCTGAGATTGCTCATTAAATTTATAACTATAAAAGAGAGTTTCGGTTAATTCAATAACAGGGAAGTATTATTCTCTCTAAAAGCATACTTGCTAGCTAAAAATAAATTTTCCACACTTATACAAATAAGCTCATAAAATCACGACTATTTAAAATACCCACGATTTATAATAACTTATTAAAGGGAATATAATTACTTAACGAATCAGAATGTAAACTAGCAATGTCTAAGTATAATGACTGATAAAAAGTAATAAAAATTGTCATTACACTGTTTGTATAGGCGCAGGGTTTTTTTTCCCCAGATTTTTTAACTAGCATAAATATAGAAATAGAAACCGCTAAAATAATATTTTTAGACCCCTCCATAAAGAAAAATAATAAAATATTTATTGATAGTACCTATCAATATTTTAACTGATAATGACAACCCAAAAATAAAACCTTACACCTATCAGATTATCATATATCGAAGTGTTGTAATAAGTGACAATACTACTCGCGCGCTCTCTGCTCTCTCCTCACTATTGATAAGATAGCGTTTCTTTGAAGCCATTAACAAGAAACTTGAAGATAGCATTTGTGGGTTCTATTGTAGCTATATAATTGAAAAAAGAACTGTAGGAACCTATGCTAATATGACGACAACTGTATAATATGTTTGGAAGGATCATCAAAATGATTAATTGATAAAATCAATAAATAAATAAAACAAAATTCCAAACACTGTAACAAACTGCACAACCAATAACAAACTGCATCACATTGCATTACTTAGATTAAGCCTAATATTCATGCAGATTGTAAAAAACATTTCTCGAAAGACGTTTTGCAAAATCTCAAATCTAAAATCATAAAACTTGTCTCTATATAGATACTATAATATTTTTTCCCGTTTATTTGCCCTGCCGGGATTTTATGTTAATGCCTTCACTTCTTAACACTCTATTCTTAGTATTCTGTTCTTATTGAAACTTGCATGTGAACATGCCAACTATAATAATATTGACGACACGTTTGGCTCAGTTTGTAGTGACCCTACTTGCTGCGCCAGCGGTCGCGGGTTCGAGTCCCGCTGGGGGCATTCGTTTGTGTGATGTGAATGTTTATACTCCAGTCATGGGTGTTTATATTTATAATATGTATGTATTTAAAGTTATATATGTATAATGTATCAACTATCTGGTATCCATAACACAAGCCTCGTAGCTTACCATGGAACTAGATGACGCTGTGTGTTAATGTCCCATCATATTTATTTATTTATTTATAGGATTCACTTTCTAACCTAAAGGAAAGAAGTATCCTATATTCTTGTCTGGGAAAGTTCCATTCCATATGCGTAGGTAATTTATTAGCTTATGTTTACATTGTTATACCTAAATGAAATCTTGAACAAAATTGACAACAGGTACGTCAATTTTGAAAACTTTACTATTTTAAGGCACGTTCGCATTATATTATATTCTTTATTGCACTTCAAATATGATACAGAAAAAAAATAACAAAGTAAACATAGTTCACAAAGGTGGACTTATCTCTAAAAGAGATCTCTTCCAGTCAACCCCTGGTTGTGGAAGAAGATGTCAGCGGGCAATATAGTGCAAAAAAAAACTAAATATATACTAGAAATAAAGGTAATAATAACCACTTATACATACATACATACATACATACATGTATACATACATACATACATACATATATACATATATTATATATAAAAAAATATAATACTATACATATATAATACCTAATGTAAAGACTACTTATACATATATACATACACATAGTTAATATATAAAATATGAAAATAGAGAAAGGTACTGATTGATACTGTCTACATTTGTGATAGTAAATAATTTTTTAATTTACATTTAAAGACATGAATAGATGGGCTCTCATGGATGGTTTTGGGCAGTTGGTTCCATAGTACTGCGGCATGGACAGAAAAAGAATTTTGTTGGAATTTAGTATTGCTCCTAGGAATGTCGAGCATAGAAGTACTGCAAGATCTTCTGGAACGTGTAGGGATTGGTAGAAAGTTAAAACGGGAACGAAGGTAAGGAGGGAAATTTTGATTTTTAGGGATATTATAAAGGAATGATAGGGTGTGCATATTACGGCGAAGACGAATGGGGAGCCATTTAAGTTGAGCACAGAAGTCAGAGATGTGGTCATATTTCCGCAAGCCAAAGATAAAACGTATGGCGAGATTCTGAAGACGCTCCAGTTTGTTAAGTAGCTCCTCTGTCACATCCAGGAAGCAGACGTCGGCGTAGTCGAGAATGGGTAATAGGATGGATTGCGCTAGCATTATTTTGGTTTTGAATGGGAGAAAGTATTGGAGACGCTTGAGAGAATGAAAGGAAAAATGCATACGTTTACTTAGTTCGTTAATATGAGGTGCCCAAGACATGTTACAATCAATGATGAGACCTAAGTTTCTCACCTTATCCGAGTAATGTATAGGGATTCCAGAGTACAGGATATCAGGTACTAAGGTCCAGTCAATCCTACTTAGTAGTCTGCTGCTACCAATAATTATAGATTGCGATTTTTAGGGGTTTACTAATAGACCGAAAGAATCAGCCCAGCTTTGGATCGCAGGTAATTCATTGTTCAAAGCTGTAACAGCCTCAGGCAACTCAATTAAATTACAATGTCGGTATATCTGCAAGTCATTTGCATACAAATGGTAGGGAGAAGAAATGACATGTAAGATATTATTAATGAAAATAGAAAAAAGTAGTGGGGAAAGTACGCCGCTTTGGGGAACACCAGCTGTAAGATCCAACCATGACGATAAGTTATCATTGGCTGTCACGCGCTGCCAGCGCCCGAAAAGATATGATTGGAACCAATTTATAACTGCGGGAGACATATTAACAGTTCGTAGAGTGCCAAGAAGTATATCGAAATCAACCGAGCTGAACGCGCTACCGAAATCAAGCAAAACCATTACAGTGAGCTTAGTGTTGTCCATGGCGGACCGAATGTCCTCCGTGATGTTCAGCAACGCGCCAACAGTACTGTGAAAAGGACGAAAGCCTGATTGGAAGGGACAAAACAAATTATTCGAGGTGAGGTAAGTGTAAAGTTGGCTGTTAACGATAGATTCTAGGACTTTGGAGAGGATAGGGAGAATAGATATAGGGCGAAATTGGGTGGGGCAGGTAGGATTAGAGGTTTTCCCTACACATTCTGTTGCAGATGTTGCGCAGTTTCTTGTATGCATTAAGATTTTCCTGAGATGGATATTTTTTGTATTTAACTTTGGCCCTGTCACGTTTAGCCATAGTTCTTTTAATGACTGGCGTTAGCCATGGGGCAGGAGCATGTTTCATTCTAACTGGCCTAACAGGAGCATGTACATCGTATAAATTAATCAATTCAGTAGTTAGTGAATTAACCATACAGTCGATGTTAGTAGAAGACAGTACAGACGACCAATCTATGTTCCTCATATCCTCCCTTAAGCGTTCAAGATCCAAATGCTTAAAATTGCGCTGGAAAACTATTTTGCCTCTAACCTTGGGAGGTCGCAATTTATATGCAAGGTAGATTAAATCGTGATGAGAAAAAGGGGCAGTCAGCTGACCATGAGAAATAACAAGGTTAGGGTTAGAGACAAACATGGCATCAATAAGAGATGGATTACAATTCGGAAAGTAGTGAGTGGGGAAAGTTACAGGTAGAACGTGCAAGTCATATGAAGTCATGAGCGCGTTCAACATATGTGTTCTCGTGTCATTTTTTAGGAGACACGTGTTTAAATCGCCCATGCAGATAACGTGATCGTAATCAACATTCCAGGTTATTAAAATAGTTAATTTGGTCGTTTGGACAGTAAAGAACGCCGATAAGAATTTTTTTATGTTTTAAAACTGTTTTTATAAAAAGGTATTCAAGATGACCTGTGGGCTGAGAGAGGGAGCAAGTAACAACACTGGCAGGAATGTTGCCGCGGAGGTAAATGCCAACGCCGCCACCACCCCTTTCGGTGCGGTCATTACGGAATAGCTTATAACCAGGAAGAGAACAGCTAGAAGAAGGAAAAGATGGCTTTAACCAGGTTTCAGATATTAGAATACAATCAACTTCGCCGGCGCTGAAAGATGTGAGAAGATCGTTATAGTGAGCAGGTACGCTCTGCGCGTTGATATGCACCAAGGAGAATAAAGAGCCGTCAACAAAAATCTTTGACAATTTATCATTCAGCGATTCTGAGTCAGAAAGCGACGTATGACTTTCAGCACTATCATAATCACTAGAAGAGCACGAAAAATATTCATTATCAATCATTATTCTACAATAGATCAGTACTTAAAAATAAGAAGAATATATAATATGTATATAAAATATATATATATATATATATATATATATATATATATATATATATATATTAAAATATAAATATATATAACAAAATAAGTTGATAACAAAAATATTAATAAAAGTACAATTAATTTTATCCACCTGCATAAGCTGACTAAAGTAAAAAAAAAAACAATGCATTTAAAAAAAAAAAAGAAAATTTCAGACAACAGACAGTTTACATTTACAATTAACAATAGACTACAGGCTAGATTATTAGACTTGTAAGCATAAAATAATCGTTTTTTTTTTAAATTAATTTGCACCGAAACAAAAATTGGAGGTGTTTAAAAATATATGATTTATTCCGAAAAGCTAGTTTTTGTGAGGTCTATTTAAATACATTTTTTTTTTCGATGATTAATAAACCACTTTTGGACATGGCCTTCAACAATAATACTCGCATGTTATGTTACATTTTATTTAAATAGATACTTGATATATTTATAAACTAATATCGAAATTATTCCTGATAAAATTTCCGGTCAATTTTAAACGGAAACTACCAAAATATGTATATAGATAACATTCAACTTAAGGCTGACCTCCTAATCTATTATTTTTTATTCTATACTAGCGATTTACCCTCTCTTCGCTCTATGCCCTATGTACGTTTTAAATATAAATAGTTATTGCGAGTGTACCTAGGAGATAGACATATGCTTGATATTGCAGACTTTTCTGTAGGGCTTTTTAAGGCCTACATTTTCCTAGAACATTATTCATGTACCTCTTAAGGTTTAGCTAGCGTTAGCCATATAATTTCTAAGGACGACTTGAGAGAATAAGTTCAAAGCTAACTGCACCCTGAAAATATTTTTATCCCCTCAAAGGATGAATTTAGAATAATATGTATGTACATATTATATCTTTATTTGTAACATTGGATTTTGCTTGAAACGCGCACACACAAACAGACAAACAGACATTCCGACAAACGGACAAAATGTTTAATAGGTAACTATTGTTTTAGTCTATATTCTGTACACAATACGTTACAGTCATTGTTTTTAAAAAATATTTCACGTACAGATTTCGCTAAGTTACTATTTTAGTAGGTATATTATGTAGATTAGTTTGAGCCCGCTTCTTCTGTCGTATATGCAACGTTGACTAACATTTACAGTCTTGAAGGTTATTGCAAACATAAACAAACAAATAAAAAGGCATAAACTTCATTTCAACAGAATTTAAACTTTTTACTTACTTGTTCTAGAGCCTTCCAAATATCATCGTCACTAAAGTGATTGAACGGATCGAGGTTGTAACGCAATGTTGCAGAAAACAAGACTGGCTCCTGTGGTATGATAGATATGTTTGTCCTCAAGACCTACAATAGAAATAAACAAAGATGACATTACAATATAAATAAGCACCCTCTCGAGTAAGACTATTAAATAAAACTAATTGTATACTGATTGGTTAGTAATTGATGATTTCATTTATAACACATAACGAAATATAATTTTATATCCCAAAAAGTCCCCAAAAAAAAACAGATTTACTGACAAAATAGTCTATAAATCTACTGCCAACCACAAATATACTCTATACACAGTATCACTAAAATTTTTAAATAGTAATTCAAGCTCAGTTCCCGCTATTTTTTTAATATAAATATATAAACTTGCGCCGTCTATTAAAATTATAATTATTAATTAATTAATATATATTTTACATAATATACCTATCGCATATCTATCTTAAAAATGAGATCTCTTTTTAAAAAAAATATTATTCTTACAACTATTCAAAATAAAAGCAAACATAAAGTCTGCCTTCTTTCATTTGGCAGAATCAATTGAGACATTGTTCAAGAACATATTATGCTACTATGGACGTAAATTGTACACGATATATTATCAGATCAATCTATTTTAAATACATACATCATTTAAAATCGATTGCTCTGTCTTTTATATATTTTACTGCGGCGAAGCCCTAAGAAGAGTTATGTGTTCGACTTGTATGTAGTATGCGTGTCTCCGACTGCATAATCCTATGTTCCTTAGTCATTTATCCTTGTTCCCATCTTTTTAGTCTGATTTTTACGGAATTTGGTTTTAAGTTTTAACTTAAACCATTAAAATATAAATTAAAAAAAATTGTTAAGGTTATTAGTCTTGTTATTTTAATTGTATTCATTTCTCAATAGTATATGTAAGTATACCTATATTTATTTTTTGTATTTTCGTAGTAGTTTTAACTTGTAAACATTTTAAAAGACTATTTTAATATTATATAGCGAATGATGTTGGTAATGCAATAAAAAATAATTGTTGTAGATTTAAATAAATTGTAAATATAAAGCATACAGCTGGAAATCCGTTTAAATAATTAAATATTATGTAATAATATGGTATCATTTTTAAAAACGTGTCCTGTGGCTGCTCTTTCCTTGGTCTAGTTCGTTTAGGCTCTTACAGTATTGGCAAGCTTTTTATTTAATACTAGCGGCTCACCCTCGCTTCGCTCGGGTTTGCCTCTAGAAAAACACGTAATAGAGATCTATTAGTTCCCACGGGAACCGTTAATTTTTCCGGGATAAAAAGTAACCTATTTGTTATTCTGATGTATGACCTATATGTATATGTAAAGTTTTATTAAAATCCAATCAGTAGTTTTTGTCTACTAAGCTGTATAAGTTATTAAGTTTTTTAACTATCCCACGGGAACTATTTAATTTTCCGGGATAGAAAGTATCTAAGGTGTTGCCTAGGGATATAAGGTACCACCATGCAAAATTTCATTTAAATCGGCCCAATAGATTCGGAGCGTACAAACAGATAAACAGACAGAGAAACAAAAAAATTGAAAAAAATCTGGATTTGTCCTATTTGTCTCCTTACATCCCCCTGACTCGGTTTTTAGCATTTTTTGCTACGTACAGACATTCGACCACTTCTGTTTTATTATAGTATAGAGTAGTTACCTGTTCCCACTTTACTGGCCTGTTTTATTTAGTTTAACACCTGATAAACATGTTTCCCATACAAACTTTACCACCTCTTGTGAAGTGTAGGTAAAACTTTAAAGAATTGAATTTCGAAGATCCTGTCTTAGCTACGAGTATTACTAATAAACTGTCAAACAACTCAAGGTCGACCGATTTAGTTTTAGACGTAGATTAATCAAACGATAACATCAACATCTACAGGATATGTAACTTTATAATATATATATGAGGTTGATAATAATTATAATTAATGCGCATAAAGTTAACACCTCCAGGTAAATTTCTAAGAAATTAATTAAATTTCTAAGAAATCTATTGTTTACTGTAACGCCGGTGTGTCCGCGGTCGTGGAGGGATTATCAATATAAAATTTCTTACACAAAAGTGTGTATCTTTAATGAAACACAGTATGTATTTTTTTAAAAAACATATGTTTTAATTTTATCAATCACCTTATAATTTTTCAAATAAACATAATTTCTCGTAAACTTCCTAACTTCGTATTATTTCATCATGACATCATCATGATAATATTTCCAATAATAAGACGTCAAAGAAACGACAGATTTATTAACATATACCTAAGTTAACACTTTAGAGTTATTTTACACGTACCGTTTTGGGTATTCCGCAGGTATCGATGCCGTCGATTTCAATACTTCCTTCGATGTTCGAGAGTCGGAACAACGCTGATATTAACGATGACTTGCCAGCACCCGTTCTACCCACAATACCTACCTGTAAAACAAATTTGTAATATAAACATTTATGTATTTAAAAGAAAGTATAGACTTTACTCTAAACTACTTTATTATTCCAAATAGTGTTTTGTGAGTAGTTTTTCCCTCAGCGACCGCGGACACGCCGGCGTTACAGTTAAGAATAGATTTCTTAGAAATTTACCTGGAGGTGTTAACTAGCTTTCATAATGTTTTTTTTTAAATATGTCTAATACGGTTTAATTTCATCAAGTTTAAATTTTTATCTATACTAATATAATAAAGAGGTAAACTTTGTGAATTGTGACTTTGTGAGTTTGTGACGTTGTAGGGGGTAATCTCTGGATCTACTAAACCGATTTAGATGTTTGGTAAGAAGATAGTTTGCGACCCTGGCAAGCATATGGGATACATTTTATCCTGGAAATCATCCTTTAAGGGGGTGAAAATGGGAGGGAGTTGTATATAAAACTAGCGACTTACCCTCGCTTCGTTAGGGTTTGTCCCTAGCTTGATACCCAATACAAACTTTCATCCCCATTTTCACGCCCTTAAGGGATGATTTCTGGGATAAACAGTTCTTCCTAGGGTCTTTAACTATATTCTTACCAAATTTCATCCAAATTGGTTCAGTAGATCCAGAGATTACCCCCTACAACGTCACAAACTCACAAGCTAACAAACTTTACCTCATTATAATATTTTATATAAAATATGAACACCTTATACATTGAATAAATTAAAATAAATATCATCTCACATAATATATGTAAAATTATATCTACCTTCCAGCCACTATTTATAGTGAAATTCAAATCTGTAAGAACAGGTGGGTCCTCTACTCCATATTTTAAGCTGACATTTTCAAATTGAATTTGTCCATTCGACGGCCAATTTTGTGGGGGACGGGTCGCTGAAAATACTCATTCTTATTCAAATGTTTCATATTAATTGTTAAGAGATAATAAAATGTTGATCTAAATTTAAAACTCTAAAATTGGCAAAGCCTTGAGTAAATACTCGATCGTGTTATTGGATCGTATTACATTTCCTTTAATTTGTCGTTATCGAATTATATACACTGTCAGCCCAGGACTTCAAATAACCCATAGACCTGCCTTGTATTATATTAATAAGCTTACATTATAAATTAAACCTAGATGAGTAATCGTAACTGCAATTTAGAGAAGATAGTGTACAGTTTGATGATATTCTACATGTAACAAAATACCAAAATTATTATTAATTTGATTATATATATATATATATATATATATATATATATATATATATATATATATATATATATATATATATATATATATATATATATATATATATATATATATATATATATATATTAACTTTTAAAATCACTGAGAATTCACAATTACATTTTTCACACAAAGGGTCATGATTACATGATCGTTGAAAACATCTAATAATTGACACATGTATAGCATACTAGCGACTCAGCCTCGCTTCGCTCGGGTTCGTCCCTAGCTTGATTCCCCATACAAACTTTCATCCCCATTTTCACCCACTTAACAGATCATTTCCGGAAAAAAGTTTCCTGTGTCTTTCCCAGGATCTCAAACTATCTACTTGCCAAAAATCGATTCAGTAGATCCAGAGATTACCCCCTACAACGTCACAAACTCACAAACTTTATCTCTTTATAATATTAGTATAGATGACAAAACTGAATAAAAAAGAAATAAATTCTTTAATACGTTAAGAAAAATTAATATAAGATTACGTGATAAGTCATCTGCAAAATATTTTCATACATTCATAAAAATTCAACGAATTCATAAAAAAAAATGTTCGATGTTATTAATTATACAACCAAGGGGGGTACCCACTGCCAAGCGCTACAGCAGATGTAGCGACGTATCGGTTATTCTCTTCTTACTTCGCGTTGCTTATTTTAAGACTTAAGTGATATGGCATTTACATATTATCCGCATTCTTTACAAATCGGGGATTTTGATTAATACTGTCTACTCCATCGGAGCACAGGGTGATGGGTTTGTTTTGCGTTTCTATATTTATCCTTTGAACACTTACTATATGTACTTTAGATATAAACCTATTCTACGAATCAATATTCATGATATCGTGTCTAATCCACGTGACATTGGCAAAATGAATTGTGCAATTTTAAAAAGCCAATTTACAAGCACATAGTAGTAGTAAACAAAAAAATTTACCACGAACGCTATAGACAAGAAAGATTAATATGAATTACTAACGTCCATCTTCCATGTTCTCTTCGGCGGGGAGCTGCGAGTATTCAAGCACGCGTTCTACTGACGTCATGTGCGCGAGAAGGTCGGCGGTCACACGCGCTGCCATTTGCAACATCATTGTCAGTGACATAGACTGACTCACCGCCAGTCCAACGCTGCCTACTTCTAGTGCCGATCCTAAAGCAATCGACGTACATAATTAGGGTACGATTAAAACGTAAAAGTTGCATTAAAATTTCCTCAGCCATTTTTATTTTAAGTCTTTTTTGTGTATCATTAATATTACAATATCATCAATTCAAGTTTCCAAACAATTGATTTATTTATTTATTTTTTGTTATTTTAAGCATTTTTTAATAATGGCATGTATAAAACATTAGCGGTACCCGATTAGTTACTTACCAAAATCAATTAAAAGAAAAATAGCTAGTATAAATCCAAGATAGATTAGACATAACATATCTAAAATTAAAGAAAAGGCACTCGATCCTCCCAAAAATGTGTAGGACGCACTGGAGTTGACATCCTGAAAATTCACTTGTTATTTGTCACTGTGCTTAATTCTGTAAACTGGTAAATAAAATTATCAACCGGCTTCTACAAAAAAGAGAAGGTTCTGAATTCGGCTGTTTTTATTATTATTATTATCATTTTTAATTACGATTATCTCTTTAATTACGAGAGTAATTTTTACGAAAGTATATGGGTGGTAGGCTTGTAATGAAAATGATTGCATTAATGGGTATGTGTTCAAAATTACTGCTTTCTGGAAAAGAAGTATTTGGTATAATTCCAGTAATAGATATAACTATAGGTATGATTTTTGTGGAATTTACTTTCCATTGGGGCTTAATACCTTAATAACAAAGAGTTTAATTCAATATCATCTGTTTCTATGTAGGTAGATATCCAGCTACCAGGCGGTCGCCATAGCCTATTTAGTTAGTGGCAGGGTGCACCACGAGCAGGTAGAGTTATTATAATAAAATCCATAAAATGACTAAAACGCTTAAGAATGAATATGTCTATCTCATATAAATTAAAGCCACATACAGAATATTTTCAAAGCTTATTATTATTAATGTTCAGGAACTTTAAAGCGATTTTATACAAAATTATTAATGTTCAGGAACTTTAAAGCGATTTTATACCTTACAGGGAACTGATAAACAAATAGGTAATAAAGGAAACTTTTTTTATCGTCATTCTGTTCTTAGCTTAACATATTTAAAGTAATACTTTTTTAGATTTACGCGAATATTTGACATTTTAAATAAAACTATCTTTTCGGATTTTTTCACGGATTTATTTTGATTTTTGGTTTCCGACGTTATTTTTAAATTTTTTGAATTCATTTTATTATTTAGTGGGTAAGCAGTCTGTAACAACTATATAATGCTTTTGAGACATCTAAAACCTTGAACGCGACCATGATTGCTGTAAAGCATTCGAAACGTCGGGAAATAAAAATCAAAATAAATCCCCGAAAAAATCCGAAAAGATAGTTTTATTTAAAATATGTTTAAGGTATCAAAACTATGTTATTAAAATGATGATTAAAAATCGATAAACAATGTATGTATTATGTAGATATATAAAGTAGTAAACAGATATAAAAATAATTAGTCAATAATACTTTCTTAGATTTACGCTAATCTTTGACATTTTAAATAAAACTATCTTTTCGAATTTTTTCGCGAATTTATTTTGATTTTTGGTTCCCGACGTTTCTAATGCTTTACAGCAATCATGGTCGCAGGAGAGACTGCTTTAAAAATAATTAGTTATTTAAAAATGTACAAACAAGGTTCTGACATACAAAGAGCATTGTTCTTATCAGTCAATAATTCTACACTCAGTAAGATAAGTTACCTGAACGGCGTCAAACGTACGCAGTAACCTTTGCTGTGAATCTGCGCTTCTGATAGTCGATAGTCCAGATATTGTTGAATTTATCATACCGAACACCGGACTTTTAGCTGTAAATAACAAATATTACATTAATATTAAGTATAATATTAATATAAAGTATAATATTGTACTTTTAGTATAATCTAATGTTGGCCTTATTGTAACTCTCCGTTGTGTACAATGTGCAATCTTAATTAATACTGTAGTCTGTAACACTATTTGATTACCAAATAAATAAGTAAATAATTGTTAATATTTTATTTCAATATGATTAATGAGAATTTTCTAATAAAATGAAATCAGATAAGACATTACATATTATATCGTATACATACTTGTACTCTCCAATCTTTTCACAGCTTGAGCAGCATTCAAGTACCATTTTAATAAAATTATAAATATAACCAACAGTATAGCAGTCGGGATGAGCGTCCAGGGAAGAGCCAAAGCATTCAAAACAAGCACGCTTAAAACGAACAGATACATTTGAATGGTTTCTAGCATGCTACGAGGTAAAAGTTCGTCCAGAGATCCCATGTCTTTTGAGAATCTATTCAGAACACGACCTATATAATAAAAATGTATATAATTAGAACTAAAAATTACACTAAACTATTAGATACATATTTATATCTTAAAATATTGTCGGCTGGCATCGACTTCGAAAATATCTGATTAGGTATCTATTCTAAATAAAATCCTCCGTTTAGTTATTTCTTACATTTTAGTGCCTGGAAGTAGGTTTTTATTTTTTTTAAGTTTTTATTTTTCTATTTTTAGTGTAGACGTAATAAGCAAGTAATTTGTAAGAATAAAGTTTTTTAATAACATATTCGACTAAACAATTTATTTAAAAAATATATTTATTATAGATTTTTTTAAAACCACTCGACCGATTTTAATAAAATTTATATGGGACTACCTGGGAAGTATGCCCTTTGAAACAAAAAAAAATCCAAATTGGTTCAGGTGTCTTCGAGTAATCGGTGAACATACATAAAAAAAAAGAAAAAAAAAGATTCCAACGAATTGAGAACCTCCGCTTTTTGGAAGTTCGGTTAAAAAGGAAAGATAACATCAAGTCAAAGTGTTAAATGTTCTTGAATATCAGTATTTTTTTTACTTAAAATCTACACAAATAACAATCAATTGCCACATGTATGACGTAGCGTCACTTCAGAACGGCTCGACCGATTTGGCTGAATTCTTCATCGTTGTGTTCTTAATTGTCAGGACTAGGTGTGTATTAAAGTTTTTTTTTTTGGGAAAGTGAGAAATTTGGCTGGTTTCGTGTATGAAAATCTGTATAGAACGTGACGTTAAATTTGTCTGCTGCCACATATGAATGTTAATAAACACCTACTAACTATCATATAATGACAAAATTAAAAAAAAAAACTAAATCTGTACATGAAACAAGTTAAAAAAGTCTGCAATAGCATGTATCTATCCTAAGGTAAACTTACAATAACTTTTATAACAATTTAAAACGTATCTAGACGACGCACCTAATGTGAGTCGCTAGTGCTTAATAAAAACTATAATATATACATATACTTAATAGGTAAAATGTATTGATTACAAATTAAAAAAATATTAAATCTGCTTTCGGACTTACAATCCATACTAATATTACAAATGAGACAATAACTCTGTCTGTTACCTTTTCACGCTTAAAGCGCTTACCTTAGATTTCGATACAATTTGGCTAGGACATAAGGACGGAATTAGATTAGCTTTAATCTCCGCCCCACTTTCCACGTGAGCGACGCCGCGGGCAATATTAATAGATAATATTATTCAGAAATATCTAATAAAATTTAAAGATTTGTCTCAGAAATAATAATATATATGTACATACATATATCACACGCAGCCTTCACAATAAATATCCGAAATTTATGCTGTTATTTAAACTTTTCTATTAATTACTATTATTATTCGAAGAAAAACAAACAAAACTAAAACATAATAAAACTAAAAAATAAAAAATAGTAACCGACTTCTAGGCACTAAAAAGCAAAAAATCATTAAACGGGGGTTTTCATTTAGAATAGATACCTAATCTGATATCTTTGAAGAAGTCAGTGTGCTTAGATTTGTATCGGCACGGTACACACACACACACACACACACACACACACACATATATATATATATATATATATAAATATATATATATATATATATATATATATATATATATATATATATATATATATATATATATATATATATATATGTCGCTTTTGATGGCATTCTATTGGAGTTTTTCAACAGGGCTGATCTCTTTTGTCTTTGCCTATTAACATAATGTAGAAAAATACTAGATGGTTGTCGAAAGGGAGTTGCGTAAGAATGTGATATATTTAATAATATATTTAAATAACTTACCTGAAGAGTTTCTGTCAAAAAACCTCATTACAGCAGCAAGCAAATTCTTGAACATTACATTATGTAGGTTTTGGGAAGCGCGCATCGTCATTATTACGAAGGCCACTATTCTAACTTGTGTCATGATTATTATGAACAAAATCGCTCCTCCATATATCAAGAGATATTGACCAGTCGTTAGAGGGCCTACTCGTGTACCTAGGCTGGGATCTAAAATCAAATATATGTTTTATAACTTATTTTTATTATAAGCAACCAATTTGGAATGAACCATAAAGTGTAAAGAATAAAGTTGTTTATTTCTTAAACATCAACAATTCTTAAAGTCCTTAGGACATTTTTAATGAAAGTATAAATAATTCTCTACATATCTATCTGATATAATCTTACAGTTTCCAATTTATAATAGAGAGCGACTCGAAGGTCCATATCAATTTATGTATACATATATTATTCTCGAGGTTTGATTAATGTACACGTCAAGTTGTATTAAGCAACTTTATTGTGTTGATCTTATTCCAGTATTTACTGAATGATGTTTATATTCTGATGAAAGTTTTTATATTAACCAATTAATTGTTATTTGTTTCTATGGTATATTGACTTACTATTTCTTAAATGATTAAGCTACTTACCAGACTCTTCTCCTATAGGTAATGATGATTCATACTCATCTACTTCATTTGTCCTAAATAAAACAGAATTCAGCAGTGATAAAGTAAATAATTAGAGCAAACGAAAAAAAATTAAGAAAATAGTAAAACAAATGTCTTCTCTTAATTTGTCAAAATGATAGCGCAATTATTATGCTGATTAGGGGGAATGGCTTTACAATATATATTGTAGCTACAAATATTTTTTCTCACTTATTTGTCCCTAGGTATCTTTTAGATTATATTGCTTTACTTCAAACCGGTTAGGCAGCACACGCCGATAAAGCAACTCAACGTCCAGTGTTTAATTTATTAAAGTTACTGTGTTTATAATTTTTTACGGTATAAAAATAGCCTATATATGTAAGCTATTAGTGATAGAATTTTTATAATTGGATCAGTAGTTTCAGAGATATATTTATTTCAGAGATACCACCTACATCCAAACTTACTTTATGAGAGAGAGAGAGAGTATGTACTTCCCTCCAATGATAATAATAACGACTTTAATCATACGTAATATTAACATTAAATAATTTTACTAAAACCAACATACCAATAACTAAGCCAATAGTCTGAAAACGTTGCTCCAGCCTGTGTTAGTAATATACTGAAAAATGCCATAAGTAAGACGAACCACGACTGGACAGATTGGAGATAGTATTGTATCACTGCCCATTTGAGGTTCCCTTTGGCTCGCTCTTCAGCTTGTAATACTTGTTCTATTTCTTTCTTTTTGGGATTATCTTCACTTTTAATAGATATGCGTGACATACCGTGCTGTAACACCGGTCTACCGTCCTTAAAAAATATGTTTGTCAATATAATAATAATATGTTGTGACATTAACACACAGCACCATCTAGTTCTATGGTAAGCTACAACACTTGTGTTATGGATACCGGATAGTTGATACACTACACATATATAACTTTAAATACATACATATTATAAATATAAACACCTATGACTGGAGTACAAACATTCGCGCTCATCACACAAATGAATCCCCCCAGCGGGACTCGAACCCGCGACCGCTGGCACAGCAAGTAGGGTTACTACAAACTGAGCTCACGCGTCGTCAAAAGTCAATAAGATATGTAGTCGTTTAATTCGAAGATATAATTATTAACTAGGTAGTCAATTTCATATATTATAGTCTTAGATTATTAGCTATAATGGTATTGACTATTGACTGTGCGAATCAGTCACGATAAAATAATTTACTGAGAGCTAATTAAAGGCCATAGCTTGGCTAGTAATAAAATAATAATAATTCAACTACTAGTACACTATTAATATAAGGATATCATCAATATAAGGATAGTGGTAGGCGGAAAGAAACTTCTCTAAAGAAAATGTGATGTTGGTTAAAGGCATTAACTTGTATATTTAATGCTATTTTTACTTTATTATTAAATAAACTCGTAATATAAATATATCAGGGTTAATTAGTTTTAAACTTACTTTTAGGACATTTCCTTCATCATCGACCTCTTTTTTATCCATTAACAAAGAAGAAAACTCTATCTCTGTTTGAAATAAGTCCTCATACGAACCCATATTTTTAATCGAACCCTATAAACAGTAAATCAGCATTATATTCCTATAATTCAAATACAGACAATTTAAAGGTAAAAAACATTCCAATACCTCATTCAAAACTATAATAAAGTCTGCGGCCTTCAGGAAATGTACTTGATGCGTAACTAAAATGCGTGTTCGTCCGCTCAAGTACGTTTGTATACATCCTTCGAATAACTGACGGCCAACGTTAGCATCGACAGCTGATAATGGATCATCTAATAAATATATGTCGGCCTAAAATTTTAAAATTAGCAACGTTACGTACTATATCTATTAATATATACATATATATAATTAAAATAAATAAATAGATATCAATCACTTCTTAATATATAGGTATAATTCTTCTGTACGTATGTTTGTCACCTTACTAAATTTGTTACTAAATTTTGTGTGTATATTTCATTGGGCTCCTGGATGATTTGAAAATACAATTGGACCCAGTAGGTGCCGCTGCTGTCCGTGTGTCAAATAGTTTTTTTTTTAGTAGTTTGAACATGGGCGATCCCGCGGGTACTGGGTTATATTGCTACTAGTAGCAATATAAATTTAAGCAACAATAGGCTTATAATTTAGGCTATATGTTACTCCAGATTCTAGTCTGTCTGTGTACTAAATTTCATCCAAATCCTTCCAGCCGTCTTAGACTGAAGGAGTAACAGACATACACACATACACATGCAAACAAACTTTCGCATTTCTAATACACATTTTTATTTCTTCTCATATTACTTTCATTTCTACGTTACATGACAAGCTGTAGAAATTAATTTGGGCGGACCTATGTCAGTAGTTGCACCTGGCATACACAAATTCCACGCTCATATTGACTTTCATGAAGATAGGTAAGTAGTTTGGACCTGTCTAACATTATTTGTCATTTACATAATATGTAAATACTCGTATTATTAAATTCCCTTAGTGTGGTGTAGACTCGTACTTATAATACATGCTTATCTAACAGCTCTGTAGAATCAGTCATTCTTCGTGGGTTTGATTTCTGCTTTAATGTAATCCTACCGTTACATTAACTCTTCTGTTCTTTCTAAGATAAAATGTGGCATTGGCAACCGACCATACAAACCTTCTTGTATATTCAAGTTTCTATAATATTCCATAGTTTGAAATATCAAATCTATGTCATTCAATTCAAACCATACTAATAATAGCATTTCACATGACAAGCATAATTTGCACCGCAGATGAGAAACTACGCGCTTATTGACTTTTGTCACTTGTCATACCCATCGCACAATTGATGTAGTCTGTTTGAATATCCAAACAAACTCAATATATTATTTTATTTCTGATTTATGAACGCTATGACTCATTGATACAATTATAATTGTGCCAACATATTTTTACTAAATAATTTCTGCGTCCTAGGATGAAAGTCCAATCCGTTGTATTGATAAGAACAAAGCTTACTTCTAGGCAGCGCTGGATTTACACTAGGGGCACTCAGGACTAGTGCCCTGGGCGGCAAATTGTTAGGGGCGGCAAAATTCAGAGGGCGGGAAAAAATGCTTTTATTTATTTTACAAAAATGCAAAAATTAAAGAAGATTAACTAGTAGGTATATTTTTCGATTTTCATTTGTAAATTAATATCCTGCCTTTTACAAAATAATAATAATTAAAATAGTTTTAACTTTATCGAAACTACCCATTTTAAGCAAAATTTTAATAATTGGGCGGCATTTTTTAATATGCCCAGGGGCGAACGCTAAGGTTAAATCCGGCACTGCTTCTAGGATATGTTTTTTCTATCCCTCATGAGGCACGAGAGTATTCTTTGCCCTTATATCTAGGTCTTTGCCCGAGGTTCCAACGATGATGGTTTCCGATAATGGACTTTCTCAGTAAATAAGCTATAAAATGCAAAAAGTTTTTTTCAAATCGATCTGGTAATTCTTGAGTTTGGCACGTGCAAACAAACAAACTCTTCAATTTTTATAAACTATAAGTATTAATAAAATAAATACTCACTTCTCTATATATTGCTCTCGCTAAGTTAATCCTGGCCCTCTGCCCACCCGATAGTGATACACCCCTTTCTCCCACTAACGACAGGTCGCCGTATGGAAACTGCTTAAAATCTGGTACTAGCGAGCACACTCGACACACCTTACACGATAACAGTTAAAAATAATTAAATATTATTATTTTTGAAATATTTTTAAAATAACATTATTATATTATTTGAAAAATATTTCAAAATTGTACTTTAATATTAGATTTAGCCAAGTACGAATTAGCTTTTCATAGAAACGCTTACTTCTTTAGTTACGGGTTTCCCTTACAATATACATTTTTCTAATGTTATGTCATATATGATGAAACTAACAAACCTTTATTATATTTTCTTATATTGGTATTTTAAATACATACTGGTATTTTATCCAAAATACCAGTATACATTTGTTAATTTGTATTACAAAAATATATATATATTTTTATATTCACTATTATCTTATTAAAATACTGCACATTTGTCATGATAAAATAAGTTTTTATTATCAGATTACGGATTATTTAGATACAAAAAAAATTATGAATACAATGTGATAAGGTAATCATGAATCATAAGCAGCATATCGTGTCACAGAATGAATCATTTTCCTGTATATAATAACTTCCGATATGATTATAGAACAATTGAAATTAGAAAAATTACAATGAGAAATATTAAATGACAATAGGAAAATAATAAGTTAAAAGTAAAATAATAGGTTAAAGTAGGTTTAATAATTTTACTGGTAGGCATTAATAAAATCAAATATTAATCGATTTTCGAAAGAATATAGAAGATAGTGAAACATATCGATTAAACTACGAGTACAAATAACTATCTCCTAGTTTTTATTATTTAAACAATTTTAAAATTTCCCGGTTAAAAATCTTTACATTTGCATAACAGAGTCTTACCTCCTTATATCGAGCAACATCATACGGTAATCCAAACAAAATATTTTCCCGCACCGTCGCTGGGAACAGCCACGACTCTTGACATGCGTAGGATAAACTACCTTTGACACTCAAATTACCGGAGCTGACTGGGAGTTCCCGAAGTAAAACTTGTAACAGTGAAGACTAAAAATTTAAGAAAAGGAATTTAATTATTACTTATTGTTATTTTATACTGTGTACATTATTTTGCCAGAACGTGTATTTAATTTATATTTAATCTACAAATATTATGCTTAAATGCTTTGACGGGCTTTTGAATTTATAGGACATACCAAAAGGGAAAGCTCAAGTTAAATTTCATTTTTGGATTTCTTTGACCAATTGAATGAAATCTTAGCTATATTTTTAACTGTCAAAAAAAATTTAATGTACAGCATTCAAATAATGCGCATTAAAGCAAATAACAGCCATAAATTCTAGAAACTATTATATAACTTTCTAAACATATTCCAAACATAAACTTTTCAGAATATGCAAATTTGATTCCATTAATAAATATTAAGAATTTCAGAATAGAAATTTAAACTTACTTTCCCGGAACCAACGGGTCCCACGACAGCACAAAGTTTTCCTTTCTTTAGGTACACATTAATATTCTTTAAAGTCATTTCTTCCGGGTTTTTAGTAGCATCCCAGGAAGCGCTTACAGACGATAACTGGATTATACGATCTGATATTGGTAAACCAGGAGTTTCTAGAAATAATTTGGATATTAATCCCTCAACGACCGCGGACACGCCGGCGTTACAGTTAACAATATATTTCTTAGAAATTTAATTAAATTATTAGAAATTTACCTATAGGTGTTTAAACACTAAACTCCAGTTTAGTTAACTAACACAATTTATATACTACCATATTAAACAATGGAGGAACTTTTTGTTATAAGGTTTTTTTTTGAAATAGTTAATTAAGACGGTACAAGCAGTAATAATAATAGTATGAAATAAAAAATCCATGATTAAGTATAAATGTTGAACAATTGGCTAATAGAGCGAAATATGTATCTAATTATCTATACATAAAATAAAAGTATAACTGCTCGCTGTCTGTACATGGAAGATATTTGAGAAAAACTACGAGTATGATTGGGCGTCTTAATTAAGGCAATAGAACCGAAAAGAATGATTTATAGAATTTTTGTCTGTTTGTTGGTGCGCGCTTATATCAGAAACGGTTTAACCGATTTGGGTGTTGTTTTCACTAATGTATTGTGGTAAGCTTCAATTAATATTTAGTATCGGTTTCTAAATTTAAAAAAATGTGTCAATTAAAAGAATCATCTAGGAACGAACCCGAGCGAAGCGAGGGTCAGTCGCTAGTGTCTAATATAAATTCATATTTAAAGATAAGAGACTAAATCACATTCAAGTTATATCATGATGATTTTCAAGTTTCTATTTGGGTTATCCAACAGTAAGTCTGGTCAAACTGGTAATATAGTGAATAAATTTTATACAAGTAAAATAGTACAGCAAATATTTGTGCTGTCATAATTATAATATATTCTTGGCAAAAAACTTACCAATGGGGGGCCGGATCTTCTCTGTAATAGAGTATTTTCGCGCTACTATTGTATTAGAGTCTAGAGCCGGCGATTTCCCATTAAAAGTGACAGGAATAATCGATTTTACACTTTTCGATAATACTGCCAAATCTTCTCTTTCATCTAAAATTATTTAATCTTTTGTTATAACTATTCATATATCTACTTTAAAATTCATATGAATCTTATGTATATTTCTATTTTTCTTATGAGAAATGATAATGAAGATGTCAATCCATAATTTTAGCTGAACTAAGTTCGTTAATGTGCGAATAATTAATTTAATCATTATATTATCTAATGCTTATGTATTTTATTTAGTTTATCTGTAGACTAAAGTGTGAGCATTCCGGTTAGACCGATTTCTATGTTCGTTACTTTCAGTAAATAGAATATATTTAAGCTCATAGTAAGTATGTATGTATATTGTATATGAATGTAAGATTTGTTACATTATATATTTTTTTCGAAATTAAGTAACTTATATAAAAATAGCCAACCTAACCTAATTTGATTTTCTAACTAAAAGAAAATATACCGAAATTAACATGAATCTTATGTATATTTCTATTTTTTCTTATGACAAATGATAATGAAGATCTCAAACCGTAATTTTACCTGAACTAAGTCCGTTAAAGTGCGAATAATTAATTTAATCATTTTATCTAATGCTTATATCATTTTTTTAGTTTATCTGTAGATTAATGTCAGAGCATTCAGATTATATCGATTTCAATGTTCGTTTCTTTAAGTGAATAGAATAATTGAAATTATTTGCTTGAATACATTTGAGCTCATTGTAAGTATGTATGTATATTGTATTTGAATGTAAGATTTGTTACATTATATATATTTCTTCGAAATTAAGGAACTTATTAAAAATAGCAAACCTAACCTAATTTAATTTTCTAACTAAAAGATAATATACCGAAATGCTCAATACAAAAACTATAAAACATTTTTAGAATAAGGAAAAGTATAGATCTGCAACTTGACATTTACAAGAACATTAATACAGACTTATAATTTATTAGAATTCTAATAAATTAAGTATAAGCCTGCAATAATGTTCTTGTAAAGGTCATGTTGCAGATCTATATTTTCTAATTAATTAATGAGAATTATTTATAAATACGTTGTAATATTCCTAGTGTGAATGAATTATCTGTGTGTCTAGAAAGTCAGCTGATAATGAGTGAGAAAAAGAGAACTACGTAAGATACCGACATCTACTATTCGTACAGTACGTCGCCTTAGTGCTTGTTTGTTCAAACGACCAATACTTGTTGTAATTGTACAGTATACAGTTTCTTCTTCTATTTTAATATTATTTATTTCTAAGATTTATATACATACATATATATATATATATATATATATATATATATATATATATATATATATATATATAAAATACATAGTTTTAACTTTATTAAAGTAAAATGTTTATTACCAATAGAATGGGCATCTCAAAATCATTAATTCTATACTAACATCTCTTTTGGTGAATTGGTCATTTGGACAAATAAGGATAATAACAGAAGTACCTATAGATTGCCTAGTTTTCTTATATATTAAACGCAGATACATGAAGGGTACCGCATTCTGACTGTTACACTAATACTATATACAATATTATTACCCACCCATTATGAGGACACTTTGTATACGTGTTAAAGATACTTTTAATTCTGAAAGGCTTGCTATCGCAAGCGGTAAAATAAAGGTCAAATTCATTTGCACAATGCCGATAAAAACTTTAATGGGGTATATCTGAAAGGAAACATTAAAATAGATTTAAATCATCATAAATTTTAAATAATAACAATTTTTGAGACATTATTACAAAAAATATTATTTATAAAGCAATAGGAACTATAGATAAATTTACTTAGAGACATGGAAATTAGAAACAATAGCATTCAGTACAAAATATACCATACCGTATTTGCTGTTAGCATTGCTCCAGATAAAATAATAGTCAAAGATGTGATGAACAATGTACTACGTTCTGCAAACATCATAAATCCCAAGAACACACTTCGCACGAAAATAGACTTTTTGAGAGCCTTTAGTTCAAACGCGCGAGCTACTTCTACTACGTGCTGGAACGATTTCTCCCAAGCGTACATTTTAATAACCTGTTAGAAATTAACTGTTAATAATGTTTTAGTTAATTGTCATGTAAATCGTTCATAACCATAAAAACATTCGAGAAATTTTATTTAATAATTTGCTTTTTGAGAAAAAATAAATATTTGCTATTAAATAATAAAACACCTGTAACAAAAAATCTGTTCATAATCATTTTCTAGATCATTTCACTTAATAAAAAGTCGATATTGTACAATCATTTATATTAATTATAATTTAAATATGTATTAGTTTAATTTATAGATATATATATATATATATATATATATATATATATATATATATATATATATATATATATATATATATATAGATATATGTGTAGTATTTCTAAGTATTAGGTTGTATCATGGTATGTATTGTATATAATATTTAATATTTACACCACCCACCCTGTATTAATAGTCTTCCATATTTCCTCACCCAAAGGATGTCTGGAAGAAATCGCTAATTAGCGATGAGACCGCCTTTTATGCACACTTTTGTTTTTGTTTTATATTTTGTTAACTGTATTTACTTCGTGATTGTGGTGTACAATAAAGTGTAAATAAATAAATAAATAAATAAAATAAAAACACCGAAAACATTTTTTTGGATTTTTTGTTACTGAAATCGTATAACGGATGTGGATTAAGCTTGACCAAATGTTAACATTAGCTTGTATTTTACTTTATTTTTGTACGATATTACTTACTTGTATCCCGTTAATAATTTCTCCCATTAACTTTATTCGCTTGTCAGTTCTCTGAGCCACTCTTCTTCTAATTACTGCCGTAAACTTTGTCAAGGCCGCTGAAAAGTTTAGAGTTTTTATTTTAATACAATCAAATTTATTGATTTAAACTAACGAATAATAAACATTATTAAAAAGTAGATATATTGTATTAATAAGAACAAGTTCATACTTCAAACTAATGGATTAGATAAATAGTCCCATAAAATACCTTGCACAGGAAGAATAAAAAGAACTACGCCGAAAAGACCAACAAAGGGAGCGTAGCCCCCGGCTTCATACAGGAAATACATAACTATTGCCAACTGTAACGGCACCAACCACAAATAATGCAGGAACATTATGGCCGAATCGAAGCGAGCTATATCATTAGACAGGAGGTTCACTACCTTTCCTGCCGCTACTTCGTTGACAGCCGTCTGGCTCATTCGTAGTATCTAAAAAAATATATAAACACCAGCATTGCCCGCGGCTTCGCCCGCGTTCAGATGACCAAAAACCAAATTCTTAGGTTTTACATATTAGTATACTTTTACATTGCAGTTTTTGTATTTTTTCTCAGAAATGAGACATTTTCCCCCGGTAAAAAGTTGACCCGGATAACCAGCTATCACCATACCAAATTTCATCAAAATCTGTCCAGTAGTTTCTCGTGACGCGGTAACAGACAGACAGAAAGATTTGCCAAAAAATATTTAATGTACAGATTCGGCTTGGTTACAATTTTATTATATCTATAGGTTTATCTTTTGCTAAAATTTCTTAAATTATTATTCTCTTTTATAAGTATATCTACTTTAACTAAATATTCTGTGATTTGTTTAATGATTTATGGCAATATAAACCATAATAAGCATATAAACATTAGTTTTTTAAAATTAGTACATCAAGGTGAGATATTTAATCTCTATCACTTTACCTTCCTATATATAAGAGATGAAGTTGCAACCTTCATTTTCAAGCTAAAGCGATTAACAAACAAACTGTTATGATGTTGAGTCATGAGGGCAACAAAACTTAGGGCTAACATTCCGATCGCATAATATCCAGCTTCTTGTCTCGTTATGGACTCGCTGGCGTTAGCAGACCAGTAGGACAGAAGGTTGGCAAATAATAAGGGTTGAATAGTCCTGTAAAAAATATTTCCTTTACAAACCGTCTTCAATAACAAGATATTTATGAATACGAATTTGCTTACAAAATGTTTTATTATTTTGTATGTATGAATAATTCAATGAATTGTAATTCTATTCATGCATACGACAATAGCAAATTTTAATATTACATTTTTATTCAGATCGACCTAATTAAATATTATATCTATTTAATTGAATTGAAAACATTATTTCAAGAAAATAAGTATCACAAAATGTATACAAATACCTTGCCGTAGCGTTTATTAGAAGTAAAGCACCACCAGGGAGATACGCTACCCAATACGCCTTTACCATTGCTTTCATTAATGATGGATTCCGATTTTCGCGTAGAGCTCTGCTATATTCTTCTAACCAATATCTAAATTAAAAGAAAAAATATTTATTACTTGAGATTTTACAAATAAGTGCTTTGCTGCACAAAAAAAACTTTTATGTTTTTATTAGTTCACATCAAAAATAGAACGTGGAAAAAATTTTTTACCTTTCAAATTTGTCACCAAGTTTTTCAGAATCATATTGCTTTGTAGGAACAATAAGATCAGTTTCTTCCACATCTCTTTTGTTTCCTTTATAAAATATGGGGCAGACCCAACATATAAAAATTTTAGATATTATATTAGGTTTATTTCTTTTTTTATTACCGTCGCTTTCTTTAACACGTTTACTTTCACTTTCATCCATATTATGGAGTGTCTGTTATATGTAACTTTATATAAAATATTATTTGCTTTTCTCACTAAATTAATTCAAGAGTATATGCTAGTTTTATGAACGCCTCGCACATTACTACACGCCGATCATTTAAGTAACTGATAATAGCTATAATCATTTTTTTATTATCCGTAGTATAATTTCGTCATATTAAACATTATCTATAAGTGATATTAAATTATTATCTGCATTAGTATTGATGGTGCATTATTATTAAATTATTATCTATATATTAATACGTGAAGCGAAAACTTTGAACCCCTTTTTAAGCATATTGTATGTACGGAGGAGGATGAGCTTTGGCATAGTTAAAGTTATATAGAGAAGGACTGCAGAAAGCCAAAATTAATAGACTTTCTTTTACCCGCGCATCCGCTCACGCATTTTATTTATATATTATTACTTCAGTGTTAATAAGTAATAAATGTAGCATGATATTAGATAATCTTCATCGATATTAGTACTGACATAATATAAAGATGAAAAGTTTGTTTGTCTGTACTTGCAAATCTCTGAATCTAGGGGCTCGTTTCAAAATTCTTTCGGATTTTATAGGCTACCTATATAACTTTGAACAAAGAACCTCAATATCCATCAAACTTAATAAATTATGGTTGATTTTCAACCACGGGACAATCACTAGTTAATTGGTACAATTTTAAAATATCTATGTCGATCTATTTGATAAGTATTCTAATAAATAGACTTATGTCGTTGATATACAAAAACTCAAGATAAACACACAGTCAGCGTCTCAAAAGTTTTCTTAATCTCCTTCTGTACTAAAACAACTAAAAACACTCCTGTTTTTATTATTTAAATGGAGTCGTTACGCACTTTTCTAAAACTAAATTAACTAAAAACTTTCCTAAACAGTTTTTGTATATATGTTTTATTTCGTACTAATTTCGCTTATTTAAATATCCGTAAATAAAAAAATCCCTGTTTTCTGTTATAACGAATAATTCCTTACTTAATGCTTTATTTAGAAGAATTAAATGAACTATGGAGTTTTATATTTACCTTGAAATAATTTTATAATATTTAATGGTAAAAGCTATTACAGTAAATTCAATACACATTCCTAATAACATTAGGAATTTTTACGATAATATTATCAAATGCAATTTTTCTTAGAAAATAAAATAAATATAACATCGACTGTACTCTATGTAGCTTTTAGTCTGTTTGACTCCCGAAGGAGATTATTTTTCGGAAGACAAACTTAAAAAGTGACATAAGGCACATTGTTTTTATACGCGTAAGTTCGAATGTGTGTTAACACAATCTGAACTTACGATTTTGGGTTTTATTCATTGGTTTGACTTAACGATACTTACGACGCCACTTTTCGTAGAGATATTTATTAGGAACAGGGTTTTATATATCAATGGCTTAAATGAGCTTTGTCCACTACTGCTGTAATTTAAACAATATAATCTAATTTTCAGGGACATAAATTATATAAATAGATTTAAAGTTTTTTGTTGATTATAAAACTATTACATATTTTATGAGTAATATATTATAATAATTATATTTTAAAATTAGATTAGAATTCTGAATCAGAAGTCTGAGTGAACCGGACAAATTCGCGAAGCTAATGCATCACATGTACATTTAGATTCTATTATTTTTTTCTCAATGTCTTCAATTAACATTTTTACGTGACAAACAGGAACCATTTTGCAGTCACAATTTTCAGAAACTGTTTCTAAATTGGTATCAGAGTACATAGAGTGTTCACCATTTTTGTACTGACATTTATCAGTAGGAAGATATAAGGAGTCGTAAAGCAAATGTTTGTCATATTCCGTATCGGTGTGATAGTTCTCGTTCTTATTCAATTGTTTCTCACTGCAATCATGACAATGTGAACTATCTTCATTGTTTATATTGGTATCAATGCTATTATCGTTGATTCTGCTTGCCTTATCATACATAAGACCACAGTTTTCGTCAGATTTTTTTAAGACAATATTTTCGTAAGTGTAAGTAGTACTTTCTCTATCACAACACGTCATATCTTGCTTGAATTTATCCGAACCCAAATTATTATCTAGCTCATTAATATATTTGGGTTTAGATTTCACTTCATTTGGAGCTTTAGACATAATATATGACAACTTTTTAGGAAAACGCTCACTTGGTAACGATTTCAACATTAAATCAACTTTTTCATTGTTACTGTTAATCAAAGATTTTATACAATAGCATTTCCCCAGAGCGTGATCGCATGAACAATTCAATGTATATCCGAAATAAGGATATTCCGGCTCATTTTCAGCTAAATTTGATTTAAATTCTACAACATTTTCTTTTAGCGACATTAACGATTCTAATTTAGATAACTTAGATAAATTATTCGTTATGTTTTTGGAGATTAGTGTCATAGTATCATAATTACTTGAGACAGGTTCAGTACATACATTTACAAAAATTGCTTTTTCATAATTGTGAGACATATTAATTGGATTTCGACAAGAGCAGTCTGTCACGTTCACATTTCTCAATTCACAAGAAACATTTTTCTCTGCCATATTCGAAATTTTGAAATCATTATACATAACCTCACACGATTTATTATCGGCAGGGACATGACAAGATACTTGACAACTAATATCCCCTATACTTTTTGTCTCTTTGATACAGTCTTCACTATCTTTCACTTGTATATACATTTCAGTATATGCTTGATGTATGGGAGATGTTTGCTGTTCCAAGTAAGTCTGTTTAAGATTACTATGCTTATATTTTTCTTTTAAGCGTTGAAAATCATTTTCTATTAAATTACAAATCTTTTCTAACACTTTAGGTAAAACAGGATTTTCAATTTCATCATTGGAGTCACATGAGCATTGAACTCGTTTAATTTTTACTTTCAAGTATTCTAGTAATAGACCATAGGCTCTAGACCAACGCTTCTCGTTACCAGATAGTCCAGCGCACGAGCAAGATAGAGGATTCGTACTTTCTGAAATCACTTGCTTGACTTTTTGTAGGATAGAAGTAAAGAGTTCTGTTTTTTCTTGACGAGGAATGCATGTAAATTCACATTTACGTTGAAGTTCATCTAATTTTCCCTTTAAGTGCTCTTCTAATAAATTAAAAGCATTTACTTCTAAATCGTTTGATACTTCTACTCTTGTATTATTCTTGTCACAACAAATACACTTTGAATCTTCATGTTCTTTTACATTCAATTTTGTATCCACTAACATATTTTGCCCAAAATTGTCCTTTTTTATTTTTAGAAGTAGTCCTCTATTATTATAGACGCTTACATTACATTGCGATGGTGCATTAGTAGTAGATTTCAATTTGAATTTCGCGTAATAGTTGTCATTACACTCTTCAAGTACATTTTTGCTTTTTACACTTATTAAGTTATGTTTATGACCGTTGTTAGTATTAAAGGTTACATTTGTATTTGTCAAAGTAACTCCTAAAAATTTTACGTCGTAATCGCCCGATGAAAATATCCGAGACTTTTTTACCACATCACGAATAAATGAATCATGTACACCTCCTTTGTTATTTTTGCATTTAAAATCTTGAAACTGAGGTATTTGTAGTTCAACTGAATTAATCTGTGACTCGTTTTGCAAAACCAACTTCTTATTTTCGGGAATGTTTTGTTTAGATGTATAATTTATTTCCGGAGTTTTAACGCATCCACAAATGTCAGTATTGTGGCATGTATACAGATCGTCTGAAGACATATCATTACCATCGCCATGATTGATACTATTAACGTATTGTTTTGCTTTACATTTGCAAGTATTATCATTACTTTTATCCAAATCAATTTCACCGATATATTCAGATTCAGTTGTAGGTGGTAAGGTATTAACATAGTCAGTACTTTTATCATGTATTTTATTACTTGAACTATATGCTATCACGGAAAACATTGGAATTTTTTCCGTATTTTTAGTGGCCTTACTATTGTTTACCTCGATATCATTTGTAATTAGCTCACTTTTAGAATTAGTTAAATTCAATACTACCTTATTATAGTCACTTTCTTGTTCCTTTGTGTGATCTTTAGAATAGTTCATTAGGTCTCCTCTAAACTTTAATAAATTGTTCAACAGATTATCTATAGATGCGTTAGAAGGCAACTTATGGAAGCAAGCACAGTCACTAGGACAGAGATGATGACTTGGATAACTCTTTACCGGCGACATATTATATCCTTTAGAAGTTGAAATTTTCATCGGTTTTGATTGTTTTTCAATAGGTGTATTTTTCCGCAGATCTCCGGATTTTTTTGACTTCCAAGCTTTTAAACTTTTTTGCCTGCGATCGAGTGTTAATTTATTTGATTTTTTGTCAGTTTCACATAAACATACATTGACAGCAAAAGATTGTTCTCTCTTTTTGAAAATTTTACCAGGATTTCTTCCCATATAACTAAATTGCCGATTAAAGCAAAAGTTTTTCTTCTGAGAATTTCTTTTCTTTATTGCATTTTCTGTTTCATAAAATTTATCACAATCTGATTCTTTATCTTTTTGTTCATCAACATCTCTAGTACATTTATTATTTTTGCTTGAAGAAGCAATATTATCTGGTTTCTGAAAGCAAGCAAAGATTATACTCTATAGAAAAGTTGTGCTTTCAAAGTGCTGATAGAAAGTATAGTAGAATTCTGTTACTGTTGGGGAAGGAAGGAAGTTAATTATACGATTTTTGATGACGTTCACTTTAGTCTATTTAGTAGAGATTTCAGAACTGTCAATAAGATAAATCAATAAGTTACACAAGCTATTTATTTATTTACATGTAATTATTATGTCAATCTAATTTTCAAATATCATTTATATCTATCTATACTTACCGCCACCCTTTGAACTATTTTCGTTATCTTGTTCTCCATATGCCATAAATCTTCTTTCTTGACAGAATCCTTTATAAAGAAAAAAAGAAAAATTGAAAACATCAAAGTGAAATTAGGATGTTAGCTTTCGAGTGCTCTTTATCTAAATAGTCAGTTTTATTTATTATGATTTATTTACATTTAAAGTAATATCAAATGATGAATATTTCAATATTTATAAAAATGAATACCTTTTTCCCTTGGTCACGCCATCACGCGTGAACGGCTGGACCGATTTAGATGAAATTTGGTAATAATATAGTATAAGAAGGACATAGAATACTTTTTATCCCAGAAGTTATCCCTTAAGGGGGTGAAAATGGGGATGAAAGTTTGTATGGGGAAGCTAGCTAGGGATGAACCCGAGCGATGCGCTAGTATTTCAATATAATAATATTTACAAGCTTTTATTTAACTAACAATGTTTGTTTTTTCGTGTCAAATTTTGCAACTGAATTTTAAAGCAGTTATCCTCAGCCGATTTAGCTGAAATTTTGTATAACGTTTAGTTCTGATGACAATGAATGGTTAGTTATGTGACTTTATTCTAACTCCAATATGGCGAACTCCCATAGATGGCGTATTATATTTTTAATGCACCCCTTCATATGGATATCAAATGAAAGTGTGTGCTGAGAAGAATATGAATACAATAAACACTAAAAAATAAATTAATAGTCAAAAAACATTTTTAAAAACAAGCTTTTATTTAAATGCTCTAAAAAGAAGAAAATAAACTATAAATTAAATCAAACCCGTTATATTGATTACATTACATAATTTATATGATATGTCGCGAGATTTACCTATTTCAAATATCGTTTATCTACTCAACACTTCTACCCAGTCAGAATACAAGAAATATTCTTTTTGTTGTATTTACTTAAAATACTAAGGTATTATTTGCGATAAACATCGAATTAGAACTTATATTTAATGGCTAATAAAATAATATTATGAGTAAAAGCTCTTAGACGAATTTAAATTTTAGTTACTTGACGTACAAATACATCAATAGTAGTTTATTCGTATTTTGTTAGAAATTTTCCTATTTGAAATAAAACGCTCTTACCTTTTTTAACTCTTCAATTTGAAGTCTAAGCTGAGTTACATCTTGCATAGTCCGCTTAAAATACGACGGAGCTATATCATTCGTCTTTCGAGTATTGTTTATAGAATGAGGTGTCTTCACAATACAAGGAAACGCCGCCGCTAGAGAACAGTATAAGTATAACGAGACTGTTTTAGACATTTTTTATTCCGTTATTTATTTTTAAATGGTAAGTCAAAAATAGCATCTATTAAAAGAGTGATCATTTTTTTAAACTATGTCACGTGAGAAGCAATTTTAGTTTAAAACTCTGTATAAGCAAATTATAAAATAGGTACCAAACTATTTTCAACTTACCGATGGACACTACAATTTAATCAAAACAATGCTAATATAAAATAAATATTTCACCTAAATATTAGATCCTTGAAATTTCGTTTTTTACACTATTATTGTTTAAATTATCTGGTTTAAGATATATATCAAGCTTTACTGAAGATAGCGATCAAACAATGCGCAATATAAATTATTAATAAACATCCAAAGAATTATATGCAGTATATAAGAAACTTTAGTTATCGTGGAAACATCCATCTTTAATTCCTTGTAGATCGAAACGGAACATATTACCGGCAATTACTACAAAAGGCTATAATCGACCGCTCATGATTATTCCAAGAGTACATACAAGGAAAAATTATCAATATTTATTATTATTAAGAAAATATTAATCATAGTCAAATACCTACTGTATTATTAAATAGTCATTTATTTACAATAATTATTAATTTCTTTGTCTACTTTATACGTAGAGCGAAAAGATCAATTTGTGATTTCCAAATGTGTAGTTATCACATTTTAACTCATATGTTTTTTTTGCTAAATGGCAAAACCCACAAACATTAAAAATATTTTTCTATTTGTCTGTTTATACTGTCTTTGGGACGGCAGAACTATAGTCCAGTCAAAATAGACTAAATTATGATCCAAGTTTGCATTAATTCCCAATAAGCTGGATTTTTGTGTGGGCCTTGAATACGTCATTACAAATGATATGTCAAAAGTCCTCATTGATCCCGCTTGTGCGTTGTTTTTTATTCGAGTTCAAAGGTCACAAATTTGCGTTTTTTGCGTATATATCTGAAACAACGAGAGTTATCGAAAAATGGTTCGAACAAAGTTTGTAGATCGTAAAATTGTCTACAAAAAATATCTCAACACTTTTCTTCTACAAAGCATTGCTTTCGAGATATCGTGATTTTAGACCACAGGAAAATCGTATTTTCGACTATATGCACACATTTCCGCACTACCTCTGAGGTAGTGTACATGGCGCTTTTTTTAACGTGGTTTCCCCAGTAGGAATACTCTACAATATATTTTGATCGAGGGAATGTAATGGGACACTATTTTATTGATGATTTTTTTTTTATTTAAATTTAATGAAAATTTCAACAGCAAGAAAATTACATCATCATTCATCATCAAATTCTTTATAGTCACTCATTTCTTCCTCTTCTTGCTCGATTTGTGTAGACTGCTCCAAGAAGAGAGATATATCAGTTATATCGTCATCAATTTCGAAACAATCTTCATCTGTTGCATTTGATTCAATGTTGGTGCCAGATTGGCCTTGACAATTGGTACATACCGATGAACAATACAATCCAACTTTTCTGCACCCGCAATTGTTTGTGCAGCCTTTTTTGCAATTACAAAAAATTGTATTGAATAATTTTTCTGGAGCAGGTGGCAGTAAAGTCTGGATTGGCTCCAAACTATTATTCATCAATTTCCAGCCCCAATTTTCAGGATTTAGATCATTGCCTAGCCACACTTGCACTTGGTAGATCACACGAAACAAGTGTTGATTAGCAGAAGCAGATGTTGGAGGGAGACAAGATAACTGCACTCTCTTATTGTTTCTTGTATTTTTCACAAAACTCAAATATCTGTACTTGTCTATCGATTCCATTTTTTTTGGAGCTCCATACATAGCAAGGAGAACACGAATTCCATTGGTGAGGATAATATAATATTTTTAATAATATTTTTAATAATATTTTTCACGTACTTATGTGCATGGGGCAAATAAAACTATGTTCTAATATTTTTTGTGTAAATGGTTAACCCGATGATGCATACTAGCCACGTATGAGTGCATATTCGTGTTTTCTATGTTTAAAATAGCCATAATTCGAGAACAGTGCACTGTACAAGAAAAAGTGTTGAGATATTTTTTGTAGACAATTTTACGATCTACAAACTTTGTTCGAACCATTTTTCGATAACTCTCGTTGTTTCAGATATATACGCAAAAAACGCAAATTTGTGACCTTTGAACTCGAATAAAAAACAACGCACAAGCGGGATCAATGAGGACTTTTGACATATCATTTGTAATGACGTATTCAAGGCCCACACAAAAATTCAGCTTGTTGGGAGTTAATGCAAACCAGAATGTCTATTTTGACTGGACTACTAATTCAAGGGATATTTCATTGTCACATAACACATGAGCGGAGCCGCGGTAAAAAGGTTATACCCAAAAACTGCATTCATGGTAATAAAGTAACTCACTAATTCGTGAACGATAGGAACAGTTTAAAAATTTTCTTTTATTTAGCCTTTAAAATTCAATATTTTATAATGAGCGGGAGAGAGGAAGAAAATCAATGTGGAAGGAAAACAATCTACGTGGCATAGAAATAGGCTTTTTATAAAGATTTTGAACCACTAACCTCCGAGTTATTCCACACAAAATTTGCCTTAATCTGCAGAATAATAATTCGAGACGTAATTTCTTTAAAGCAACAACATTTTTGTAAATATTTCATCATCTATCCCGCACCAACTCTTAGATTTTGCGAAATTGTCCTAAATATTAACCCGGGTAATAAAACAATTTCTAACTTACGAAACATTCCTATTAATATCTCGATATTTTTATATAATTTGCTAACAGAGAGTTTAAAAATTTTATGAAGAATTTTAGCTGTGTTTTTATAATTTTATAATTTATTTTGTTTAATAAAACTTACGTTGATTTTTGCATTGACAAGGAGGAGGTCCTTTAGAGACTATATCTTCAGCCTTCTTAGTAAATTGCTCAGCTCTCTCATTGTAAAGTTGTTCTGCTAACTTTGAAGCTAATTTCTGAGCACGACGTTCTATCGCTCGCTCCTGCCACCCTTCATCTGTTTCATCATAGTCGGGAATTGTTCGAACTTTATCTGCACAGGATTTGCCTACCCACTGTAATACAAATACATGGTAATAAACATAATTTACAAGAATACAAGTAAATGGAAATACATATTCTGCGCACTTCATCGCACACTTTAAATAAATGTATAAATTAATACAATACCGTTTCTTAGTACAGCAATAATATTCATTGTTATGTAATTCCAAACAACAGGTTTTATATCTGGCAATTTTTTTCAAGTACTGCACTGAACAGTAAACAAATATAAATAATGCTAACATCATAATTTCCTACAAATTGATCATTACTAACCTTTGCGTGATAGTTTTCAATGGACGTAGCAATCGCAATGTCCAGCTCTCCTATGAGTAATTGCGCAAAGAAATTGAGCAGGTTCGTCTTTATAACACTCGAACGATCCCAATTGTGTTTGTCATCTAAGCACTTTAATAACTGACATGGCATTATTAAACCAGAACCACTTAGTTCTGATTGTAAGCCTTCGAATAGATCTGTTAGTAGATTCGATAGAAGCTGACTACGTAGCGACGTACAAGAGCAGGAATCCTGAAAATAATATTATTTATATTTCTTCGTCAATATTTACACAAATGAAACGCACAAATAGATATTTTAAATTATTTTGAATGTACAAAATAAATAAAGTATATAATAAAGTCGATTCTACAAACATCGAATAAACACAATTAAGTGGTAATATAATTATAAATAATATAAGCATTATCGCATATTTATAATGGGTAGTACTCACCCAGTGATTGATATTCGATCATAATCATTATTCTTTTTTTATTGATTACGGTAAAGCTCGTTAATAGCTACTAAGCAAGGAAAAACGAGAAAGTAAAGAAAAAGTGACAAAAAGAGAAGAAAAAGTGCTGAACTGTTTTTTTTTCGCCTATTTATATGTAGATATATTAGTACCAATAATTTGTCCTCAGGAGTACATTGACATAGAGCAGCAAGAGATGGCGTCCTTTTGACTTCTACAGCGGCATCCTGTGGCAATTTACATTTGCATTCGATCACTTTTTCCTTTAACTCCATAACTTGTCCTCTTTTTTGCTTCAATTCCTCTATTTTCGCCTGCATGCGATTATCACACGTAAGTTTGCAACCATCTAAATCTTTTATTATATCTGCTTTCTCTTGACGAAGTTCTTTAAGCTAAAATATACATACATATAAGTTATTTATAAAAATACTAGACAACCTACTATGTAATAAAATCACTTGCCCACTTTACTTAGTTAAATATTCAACTATATTGACTCAACTATGGGACAATTATCATTTTAATCGAGAAGGAACACCGGTTTATTACTTATGTAAGAGAAACATGTAGTCTCTCAGTTAATAAATAATTGAAATACCACGCGCATATATGTAATGTACGTAAACCGTATCGGAAATGGGCGTATACATAGGTGAGAATTTCATTACTTTACAATTCTCATAAATTGTTGGATTTCCCCGGATATATCAAGACACGCGGTAGCGTGTCCAGCCAAGTTCAAGCCAAAGGAGCTTGCGACGCAGCACCGTGTGTATATTTACACGAATCATTTGGAGCCACTTTTCACCTTGTAATAACCCAAAATATAGTTAACATAAACACATGAAATTCGGTACATTTATTAAATCCCCTTAGATTAACTAGAATCCCAAATTTTATAAATACAGCTCAAACGGTTATTAAGATATTAACGTCAAAAAATCGCCATTTTTATCACTGTCTGACTGACATAGAATAGTAAAACCTAAGCCACTTCCAGATGACCTAGTTGAAATTTGGTGTCCAGATGGGTAATCGTGTGCATACAAAGGAAAAAATCCGAAAACAGTAATTTTTTAAAATTCGAAAAAATAATTAAATTATTTTTTATTAACAGCTTGCGCCTTGCAAAATATAATAGCAATAACTTAACACCTAGTGCCTTTTAAAATATAATAGCAATAGTAATAGCAAAAATTTTTTTCTTTCTTATTTCGCCTTATCCACTAACGAATAGTTGCAAAATTATTAAGAAAAAAAGATTGTATTTACATGTCACTTTGAAATTATGAATAATAATAGTTTCTTTACAAAAAGTCATGATATCCCATCAATTACTTGGCTAGTTTTTACATACAAGTTATCTTTTTTTATAGTATTCTGAATTAGTGCTTGACTACGTTCCACCTGATGGTAATTGGTAACACAGTCGTAGACGGTAAGTCGCACTAATTCAGTAGCCACCTATTCACTCTTGCCTTGAAGACACCCATGTTCTAATCGGACGGAAACACCGACGCCGGCTGGTTGTTCCAATCCTTAGCCGGACGTATAATGAATGACGTTGCGAAACGCTTCGTCCGGACGGGTGGAATGTCCACGACATAAGGATGGAGACCCGCTGTTCGTCGAATTGTCCGATGGTGGAAAGGGGATGGAGGAATTAAGCCGTGTAGTTCCTGCACACACTCTCCGAAATGTAACATATAGAATACACAAAGGCTGGCAACCCTACGTCGGTGATCGAGGCTTTGTAAGTTAGCTTTAACCAGCGTAGGGTCACCAATAAGCCTGTGGCACCAATAAGCCTGTGATCTTCTTTATGCTATATGCAAGTTACTATTTTTATATTGTAAGGTCAACATGTCTCACTTTTCTAAAAACTTGCTTTACTGGTAAAACTAGCCATGTCAAATCTTGAACTTGAATTTATTCTAAGTTATCTACTCTGTGTAAGTAATTCGACTGTTCAAAATTTAAGAAGTTCTATTTTTAAATAGCAAACGGTAAAAAAAACACAAATTGTGTTTTAAATTTATATTACAATGTATATGTTCCTATGAAAAAAAAACAGAATTATCTACAGAACTTGGCACCCATTTAGATCTCAATTCTTTTGTCGGTGTAGTTGACAACCACGCTTATTCTTAATATTGAACTGGGCTCCCACTTTCACATTTATGTTTTTTAATGGGATTTGGTTACAATCGATACTATTGTATGAATTTTGTGACAATACTATCCAACATTTGCATAGTTCACAAGTCTTATCGTGCTCTCGTGCTCAAGCAAATGATTTTATTATATTTAATGATTATGATGTTATTATTGAATACTATAAACAAAACAATAAGGAATTGTTAATGAATGTCCTAAAGTCTTGTATATAAATGTTAATCGTAAATGTACACTTACTTCTGATTTAAAATTCTTATTCTCAGTCTCCTCAACGTACAACTGCTCAGAGACTTGTTTGATCTGATCTTTCAGAGCTGCAAGCTCAGCCCGCATCGCCCGCTCGGTCTCATGTGTCAAACACCGCGCTGACTCTATATTATTCTGAATACTCCACACTCTTCTTTGCGCTTGCTCCTCTTTGAACTGTATCAATAAAAGCACTGATATTTAAATTTATTTAATCATAAAACAGTACACAAATACAATATTTTTTAAACAAGTGTTTTTTGGTTTTCTCTCCGCGCTCACGAAAAATAGATTATTCTAGAAATTTAAAATATACTAGCGACTTACCCTCGCTTCGCTCAAGTGCGTCCCTAGGAATGTTTTAAATATAAATAGTTATTGTGAGTGCAGAGCCAGATTTAGGGGAGGGCAACCGGGGCTAGAGCCCCGGGGCCTCCACAAGAGAGGGGCGCCCACAAAATAAATTTGATAAAGTGTATGTGTGTGTGCAATTCACACATAGTAGAAGTGAAACTCCAGAAAAGTAACCAACGAGAGAATTAACACATATTTTCAACTAGTGATTTACCCTCGCTTCGCTCGGGTGCATTCCTAGGTACGCGGAGTTTGTTCACAATTTCATGGGTTTTCATTTCTTGCTTGGAATCTTCATTCTTTTTCTAAAATAAAAGTAGCCTAAGTTACTCCTTATAACCAGCTATCTGCCAATGAAAGGTCCGTGAAAATCAGTCCAGCCGTTTCGGAGATTAGCCGGAACAAACAAACAGACAGACAAAAAATTAAAAAAGTTTTTTTCTTTTTAGTGCCGTATATGCATTTTAAATAAAACTATCTTTTCGGATTTTGTCGCGGATTTATTTGCATTTTTGTTTCCCGACGTTTCGAATGCTTTACAGCAATCATGGTTAAGCGACAAAATCCGAAAAGATAGTTTTATTTAAAATGTCAAATATTCGCGTAAATCTAAGAAAGTATTACCGTATATGCATTTCATATGGATTAGTATAAAATTCTTATTTTGACATTACAAATAGTCATTTCAATTTTATTTATCCGTATAGATAAAATAACTGCATTTTTTTATCATTTATTTATTGAATTCCCCCACACTCAAAACATCAATAAAATTGGCTTAGACATATACAAATTTATATACAATATAATATTTAAATTGATGATGGTATGTTATAGACGACGAGTCTAAGAATATCCATATAGTAAGTCATATTAAAATAAGTGAATAAGTTTGAATTATATGCTGTTGCTGGTATTTACTTTTTTACCGGACTGCGGCGAAACAGCGTTATGTGTTTAACCTGTATGTATGTCTGACTCTATGTTCCTTCATAATCAATAAACGGCTTTACCGATTTTGATTATTCATACGTAATTCGATTTGTCATAATAACGTAAGTATCATAGGCTATAAAGATATTATTAAAATGGCGTATCCTAGGTGCCAATTTGTATGTCTTGAAAAAAATGTTCCAATCAATCGAGTGGGGTATCAAAATACAGGTTATTAAGAGGCGATTACAAAAATATTTACAACTTATATGTTCCACAGTAATTTAGGATAAGAGATTGTTAAATGAAACTATAAATCATTCCTCGTCCGGCTTAATTGCCGTGTAGACGTGTACTCAATATTGTTGCTTATTTGTGTTTAATAAAAGTGCGAGCAATCAAATATCAATCTTAAAGCATAGTAATAAAATCCATTTTTATATAACTCTGTTATAATCTAAGATAAGACCACTAGCGATTCATTGCGTCTACGCATCATTAGTGTACAGTATAGGCAAAATAGTGAGATGCTACGATCTCCAACAAACAAAGATGGTAAATATTCTTCTCAACCTGACTTGGCGAGCACCAATAAAACCGACTCGGAGTCATCGTCGAGTTTTGTTGCAGTTCGGAAACGTAAAGAACGGAGCGAATTTGAGGAATTGCGAGAGGAAATACAAATTTTAATAACAACAATAAAAACAGGTCAAGAAGCAAAGTTTGAAAAAATCTTTAAAAGTATTGAGGAACTAAAGTTACAGAATAATACTTTAAAAATTCAAAATGAGAAAATTTTAAGTTCTAATGAAATAATAGAGAAGAAATTAATGCAAACGACTGAACTATACAATGATGTAAAAAAAACGATGGCTATCCTTCAAGATGATCATAATAAGGCAATCAATAAAATTACAGCTCTAGAAGAAGAAGTAGAAGAAATCCAACGTCACCACCGCTCTTCCTTTATTGAAATAACTACACCAATAAACGAAAATGAGAATATCCTAGAAATGGTAACAAACATTCATGAGACCATTGGTTTTAAGCCTATGGAAGAGAGTATCAGACAATGTTATAGAATGAAACAAGGAACTAAAAAACCTATATTAGTTGAATATCGAAATGGGCAGAAAAGAAACGAAGTATTAAAACTAGCAAAAATATACAACAAGAATAACAAAGAGAAATTAAATACGGATATATTCGGTAAGCAAAAAATAAAGGAACGTATTTACATCAATGAATTTCTTACACCTAATACAAGAAAATTGTACTACCATGCCCGCCAACTACAGAAATTACACGGATTTAAATACTACTGGGTATCAAGAGGAAGAGTCTATATTAGAAAAAATGACGGTGATCCGGCTATTCTTGTTAAATCTTTGGAGCAAATTGAATCTCTTAAAGTGGAAGCCACCATATGACTAGCATGTCATTTTACATGGTATACTACTAAATTTATTATAGTTTTAGTGTTTGTTTTTGGATTTTACTTTATTGTACTTTTAGATTTTAAGTCTTGCTTGCATTGTTTGTTACAAAATGTTACGTTAGTTTATTTTAGAAATTTACAAATTTATGTTATACACACACAACAAAAATACACATTGACTCTTTTACAGACATATAATATACATATTACACAAATCTCTGGTATTATATCTATGGAAACTGTCTTCAAAATAATTTTCCTAAATCTGCCCACATCATCATATCATTACTGCATGAAATCTGTTTTTGATAATGGTTAACATTCTGAAACTACAAGCTGATCTTGATGATAATACTAATATAGGCACAGCAGTCGTGATTGATGATATTGGGCAATGCAAAGGGATATTAAACTCTGGCAGTTACTTACGCATTTTAACACAAAATATACGTAGTATTAATAAGAATTTTGATGGGCTTACGGTTCTTCTCCAACAACTAGAAATTGAACAAGATATAATTATATTAACAGAATGTTGGCTATCTAAAGTTAACTTACTACCTACATTACCAAATTATAATCGATTTAATACAAAGCGGAACCTTAATAAAAATGATGGAGTTGTTATGTTTATAAGAAAATCTCTTCAGGTTAAGGTAATAGAACCACAAAATACGAAAGAACTGACGTGTCTGGTGGCTTGTCTTAAAGATACAAACATCATTGGCATTTATAGACCTCCTGAATTTACAAATTTAGATAATTTTACACATTCTTTGGAATTTATTCTTCAAGATTTTACACAAAACAATTTAATTTTAATGGGAGATTTAAATATTGACATCAAGGATGGATGTAATGCAGCAAGATGCGATAGTTATCTAGAAATTACAGCTATGTATGGATTAACGGCTACACATAACTTCCTTACTACGGACAAAAGTTGTTTAGATCACTGTTTAGTTAAAACAAAATTACCGATTAGCACTATCGTCTGTCAAACAACTCTAACAGATCATGCATGCGTTATAGTCTCATTATCACAAAAGAATATTATAGGAAAATCAACAATAACATTTAATAAAAAGATAGATTATGATTCTGTCATTAAACAATTAAAAAGTATTGAATGGAATATATTACTTAAGGATTTAAATGCTAATGATGCTACAGATACCTTTCTTGCTATAGTTATGACTGCATTAGACTCAAATACTACTTATACATAAAGAATCACTTGATTATGCAAACGAATATTTTGCTGGCATTGGTGCAGAGCTAGCAAATAATATTATACAAAGAACGCAAACGACAGAAGACGAACTACTGCGCATGATACAAAATAGTCGGAACTGTTGTGGTTCGTTTTATCTGAATCCAACTGATAAATATGAGGTTGGAAGAATTATAAAATCACTTAAAAACACCCATTCATGTGGATGGGATGGCATTACTTCTAAATTCCTCAAATTATCCATCAATGTTTTAGCTGAACCTATTGCTACTATTTCTAATATGTGTTTCGAACAAGGTATATTCCCTAGAGCGCTAAAAAAAACAATTATTGTACCAATATTCAAAACCGGAATAAAAGAAGACTTAAGTAATTATAGACCTATTTCTTTGCTACCAACACTATCTAAAATAATAGAAAAAATAATAAACGTTCGATTAAAGACGTACTTGAAGAATAATAACATATTAGCTAATAATCAATACGGATTTCAAAATAATAAATCAACTTCTGATGCATTAAAAAAATTAATATCGGTTATAGTAAACAATTTAGATAAGCGTATTAAATGTTTGGGCTTGTTTTTGGATCTAAAAAAGGCTTTCGATACGGTGTCTGTTCCTTTGTTGTTAAAAAGACTTGAAAATGTAGGAATTCGTGGTCTACCACATCAACTTTTGACAAACTATTTGACAGACAGAAAACAAATACTTAAAATAGAAAATCTGGTTAGTGAAGAAACTGATGTTAAATATGGAGTCCCCCAGGGGAGTACCTTGGGTCCTACACTTTTTTTGGTGTACATAAATGAACTTTGCTTACTTAAACTTAAGAATAGTGAAATAATAACATTTGCAGATGATACAGTATTAATTTCTCATGGCAAGTCAAATGAACAAGTGTATGAAAATGCTAACAACGATTTTAGACTAGTTACAACATGGCTAGACCAAAATTTATTATCATTAAATATTTCTAAAACACAATACTTAAATTTTAGTATTCGTTCCTATCAATGTCCCAACCTAAAAAAACTAGAATTAAAGGCACATTATTGTGAACCTAATCTTACTCCAAAATGTACCTGCCAAAAATTAACTCTAACTACCAATATTAAGTACTTAGGTATAACTGTTGACCAACATCTTGCCTGGAAAAATCATATAGAAGCACTAAATGGCCGTCTTAGGCGACTAATTTTTGTATTTAAAACTATAAAATATATATGCGATGAAAAACTTTTGAATTCGATATATTTCGCCTTATGTCATTCTATACTATCATACGGCATCGCTGTCTGGGGTGGAGTGAATAAAACTACCTTATTAAGAGTAGAAAGAACTCAGCGTGCGATACTAAAAGTAATACATTCCAAAGATTTTAAATACCCAACTGATCTACTATATAATGAATTACCAGTACTTAATGTAAGACAAACGTATATAATGGAAATATTAAGAGATCTACATCGAATTCCCTCTGATAAACATAATCAAAAAAGACGTCAGGATATCGTATACGATTTACCCACCACAAAAACAGCTTTTGCCCATTGTTTTTATCCATTTTTGGCTCCCTATTTATATAACAGAGTATCTAAATTTATGTCACTAAAAGATCTTAATAATTATACATTTAAAAAAACTCTTTATAAGTACCTAAAAACATTAACATATAATGAAACAGAAAATTTGATAAAAACTGAATAAAAAAAAATATATATTTTTTCTTTCCTTTACTTATTTTTGGTTAGGCGTTTAATATAGTTAATAACATAATCGAAGCTCCACAATAATAATACGAGATATTTACTGTTCTATATATTGAAGTACCATATACATTATACATACATTATATATAATAATTGTAATATATACGTACATATATAACCAAACATTCATACATATGTTCTACAAACAAACACACACACATGCACACATTAACAAATACATAAATACATACGTAATACATACAGTACACATATACAAATAGAATAAATAAGGACAAAAAAAAAATATTAAATGTTAATTAAGTTGAAGCTTTATCTAAATATTTGCCCATACTGTAATAAGCGAGTGGACATGCGTGCGAGGAATACTATCCTACCGTCATACAGTTAAACTAGTACGGAGGGTAGTGTTTACTTAAACATTGTTAGCTTGACTTTTAAATACTTGTTTATAAAGTGCTGTTTATTGTACAATAAGCTGTTGATATAAATAAATAAATAAATAAATAAATAAAAAAAAAAAAATAAATATCTAACTCTCCTAAAAAGTAAATAAAAAAATATTAACAAAAAAAACCACCGCATAAAAAGTGAACTAAAAAGAAGAGAACAAGTAGACGAAGTAACATATATTATTTTTGTTATTTTTTTCTGAAGTGGTAGTGTGTATTGTCTATCAAAAATCACTCTAGTTTTGTTAAAACAGTATTTATCCACATCTCACAATCAAATTATTTGTGTCTATTCCAAAATAAAAAAATAGCTCTCCGGTTTCAAAAAATCAACTGATGGAACTAAAACATAGTTTTAAATTATTTATTGATCAAATATCTCAGTACCCATATTATTTTGTTATATTAAAATGATTTATATTCTTTTACTTTAAAAGTAACTTTATCATAGATTATTTTTATGCTTACATTAAGTCTATAATTTATATGGTCATTTTAAAGGCTAATTTAAGACTTCTATCCATGATAAAAAATCACTAATTAAGATTTTTTGTCGAAAAAAGCTCGCAAGGCGCCATTTATTAACGTTAATATATAATTTTGAATAATTCTTGTATTTGACTATATCTACACATGTTTATTGAAATAATTTAATTTGTATCGCAATAAATACTTGAAACACTTGACTACAAAAATTATCATTTTATTCGGAAAATATAATTAGGGGCCTCCACTCCTCTGTTGCCCCAGGGCCTCCACACCCCTAAATCCGGCCCTGTGTGAGTGTGCCTTACGAGGTAGACTCATGCTTGATATTGCTGTCTATTAAACCTAACATGTTTAGCCAGCGTTAGCTATGTCAATTTCTATTGTTTTGGGGTCTATATTCTATACACAATATACTTCCTATACCTTTCAATCATTGGTTTCAAAAAAAAAACACGTACAGATTTCGCTAAGTTACTATTATGCGTATAGATTTGAATGAACGTAAAAATAGTCATTAAACGTTAAATGCATGTGTAACAGGTAGCTACCAGCTTCATTATTTTGATAACGACCTTATTTTGTTATCGGGCCGAATTATAAAGATTGCAAAGTGAGTCAGTAAACAATTGACTTTCGCTAATTGCTAAGTCACGATTACACCTAAGTATGCCCGAAATTCACTGATATAGTATATTATTCATACACACTTATCGCAACGTGACAACTTGTTTAATATCCAGGCATCTGATATTCGGTCAAACAACAACTACTACCATAGGTTTCATATCTAATTACAATAAATGAGTGTTCCGCGTCAAATCTAGTATGGTCCTAGGATCCGCATTTTATATTAACAAACTGATACGTTAATTATATGCCAATAATTTACAATGTTGTTTAATAATTCGTATTGGCCAATTTACATATGGCAATGGTTTCTTTCTACATAATTCTTGAATATATAAAGTTAACTACAGTAACTTTAAAAAAATAATATTTTTAAGTGGCAAAATTATAACATATCAATTTGCTTTAAAAATACAGCAAACATTTTGCCCAAATATAGACACTTCAGAGAATACTCTTTAAAACTTTAACTGTGCTAAAAATTATATTACATCTTCTCTGTTCCTAAACGATCGATCGTGTTAACCAAAAATACTATCTAAATTTGAACATTTATAAAATAATAACAACGTAAAAAATGATAAAGCGTAATATGAATAGGTATAGTATATTAACCAGTAAATCCCTATCTAACTGCGTGATCCGGCACAACTGTTCCGCTAGAGCCGCATCATGCCGAGCTGACTCCTCGCTGAGCTGCAGGCGCATGCACGCTCGCTCGCACAACTCTTTCTCCACCGTTGTTAAATGAGCTTTTTCCTTCTCCGCAATACCTCCGTGTTCTTTTAAAATATCAACCAAACTAGTGCAGGCATTTTTGTATTTGTTCCTTTCTTCTATAGTATCTTTAATCTGCATTAAAGATTTATTAAAAGAATAAGCTTGTTATTTTCAACGACAGCGTCTCAGAACACTATATTAAATTTAGAACAGACTAGTAACTCTTCGCAGAACTAACAAAACATGTATAATTTCATCATGATGATGTTCTCCTAGCCGATTCCGGCCACGGCGGTAATCTCATTGAGATTAGCCAACTGCGCAGGAGTTATTATAGTGCACAAGTGTACGTGCAGACACAACGTGCACTCTCTATTCCTGTCACTCTCATACTCCGATGGGAAGACCACTCGACACGACCGGTGAGAGTTAAGGCGCAGGACCGTCAGCTTTACGTGCTCTCCGAGGCATGAGGGTGAAACACCGCCAACTTCCCAAGTCTGGGCTGTTACTGAGACTTACTATACAGAAAGACTTAACAACTAAACTTGGCCCGACCCAGGACTCGAACCCAGGACCTCCGGGGGTGCAGCAGTACATGCTAGCCACTACACCACCAAGGCAGTTAATTTCAGTTAATTTCATCATAGTTCATATTTAATATAACATATTTTATTTATGTACTAACTTTCTTCATTATCCTATACCTACAATGCGACTAGAATCTGTATATTTTAAAAAGTCTTATGATCAATAGTTCACTATATTAGTGAAATGAAAATAGAAAAGAAATTAAGGCCTGACTATAGGGATAAAGTTTGCTAGTAATTTTTTTATCCATCGATTTATATCCTTAAATTTAAAAACCTTTACTTCTCATCGATGAATATAAGGAAAAGTGATTGTAAGTGAACTCATAATTTTAATTACAAACAATAATAAAATAGTTACTTGTTTTGCAATATCATCTTCTTTTTCTTGGGCTAAATTTAAACGTCGCTGGTATCCAAGTTCTAAATCTTTCCAAGCTGCCTCGGCTCGTTCTAATAATTCGACTCTCTCCGCCTCGCGTCGCGCAAGTTTTGCTGCTCGACTCCGCAGCTCGTTAACCGCTGTGTCGAGCTCTGTCAAACGTTGTAAGCAGGCTGTATCCAAACAGCACGCCTGATAAATAAAATAAAGTTCATATTCACTATTTTAAATTAAGCTTTATTTTTTGGTAAGAAAAATCGAGATGTTTTATGAGGAACTACTAGAGTGCATACAAAGCTCACATACAAACACTATCGTGATGAGTGACTTTACTGGACAATTGGAGTTTGTACATCAGGAGAAGAATATGCGATAGGAAAATATGAAAAAAAATATTTCCTTTTGCGAAATCTAAGAACCTATAACTAAAGCAATGAAGCATAAAATTCAAGACAAGACCTCTAATTTCTAATTAGAATATATAAACAGTATAATAACAATACGAGTAGTTATAGTAACTAGAGTGTTAAAATTATAATATAACTAATTCAAATAACAAATATAACAGGTAAAACATGTGTAACCAGCAAGTCTGACATTTTACAATTATTACAATAATTATTGACAAATCGTAGCATACTCAATACTAAGTAAACAACTAGTACATTTAAAGGACATTACAATAAAACTATAATATATATAATAGGTAACGTTGATTGTTGGGTGAAAAACAAAAATTACTTACAGCATCTACTTTGTTCAATGTATCATTTTGAGGTTTAGGTGCTGGTGCTAGTGTTACTTTTTGTGTTTTTTTCGCATTGTGATGAGAACAAATATGAGAATTTTCCACGTGCATAACAATTTTCGTTTCCACTGGCAATTTAACTACAGTTCCCATTGAAGAGATAGTGTCAAAACATGAAAGTTCTGTGTTTTTAGAAACCTTTTTTTCGTGGCTTGCGACATATTCAATTGGTTTCGAAGAAGGCCCTGCTGTGTTAGTAGTGTCAATTTTATCCAAATTAGATTTTTTGTTATCTTTGCAAACTAATTTTCCCCGATTTTCTTCTACAAATCTGCAAAAAAATATCTAATTATTAGAAGTTTTAGTTGAAGCAAACAAAAAATGATAAGAAACCATGTTCATGCATTGTTCCTGAAATCTTTTATTTACTTGAAATATTGTGAACAACGCAATGATAGACTTCTGGTTGAGGTTAAGTTCAGTGAACAGACTTTATATAGACCAAAAGCCAACGTTCCGATTGTATACAGGTTTATACATAATATTATTACAATGTTAAATTTTTCTTAATATCCGTATCGCGTAGTGATACTGTAGGTGTAGTTGTAGGTATATGACGACAAAACCAGATATCGTATCTTTGTATACTGCGTAAATATTCATATTGTTATACAGATATCTTCCTTGTTATTATACTTTCAAGTTAAGACTTTATTTATATATGTACATACATTAAAGCAAAATTTTTAGTCTAAAGTGTAAGTCATTAAGTAAAGCACAATTTGATAACTTATCCCAAAATAATATGGTTAAAGAATTATGTATTTAAACTGAAGATGACAGATTTTACAATATACTAATTATATAAACTCTATATTAAACTTATACGTTAATTTCTAGCCGTGACATGATTTAAAAGATTGTTAATTAGAAGTGTTATTATGAATAGCATCTCAAAGTCAATGAAAATACCTGCAAGGCACCCGCATTCATCGATTATTTTTATCGTACTTAAAACATTGAATGTATTACATATAAGGCATTGAACACGTGAAACCGTGAAATTATGGAAAAATGTACAATTACAGCACTAGATTCTTTATTTTTAATTGTTAGCTAATATTATCATTTTTAGCTCTCAGTAATTATGTGTGCAGGTGGCTTAAATTGTTGCCTGCAAACAGTGCGAAATAACGACGCGTTTAATTAGCTTCATTATATTTGAAGGCGAGATGTTCCCTTCCGCTCGTGAGGGGCTGACCTTAAATAATACTGTAATACCTCGGACCGTAACCGGTGCATGACCCACATTATTATATTATTATTCACAATATAAGGATATGAAATGATACTTATATTTAATATAGATGTACCATAAGTATACAAGTCATTTTACAGCACATTTTTATGTTATTTGTTAACCTAAATATATTTATTTTTTATTTTAAAAATCAATGCACAATATTTAGACGTTTCTACATTGGTTTAGTACAGATAAATTATTAAAATCATTGTGTGATAATACTATTGCACATTTTTATATTATAACTTACTTTACCTATGTTATTTTGCTACTTGTAAGAAAATACGATGTCACATAAATCGAGTATCATAAAAATTATCATAAGCAAACAGTTTCCTTACAGGTATTGCTATAATAGGATCTTACTGGTAGAGGCTGTCAGCGCCCTTGTGCCCGAGTTGCTGCCAGGCGAGGAGCGCGCAGGTGAGGTACCTTCGGTCAGGTGGCTGTGAAATCATTCCGCTGCCCTCACGTGACTCACGCTCGAGCCGCTCGTGCGCAGAGTGCATCGCATGCTGCGTCAGCCATAAACCCATGAATAATTTAAATCTCGTACTGTAACTATACTTGCAACTCCTATTATGTCGGTTAACTCAGTTTTTGTAGTACTTTAGCATAAGATGTATTTTACCGTCAATAACTTTTCTTACTTATCTTAATTTAGCAAGTCTAAGAAAGCTCGATGTTGTTTAATATATTTATTGAATAAATATTAAAACCACTTTTAATATAAACTTACCAAATTAAAGCCCGTGCATAACACGAAAAGCTCAGAGCACAGATATTAGATTGATGTGTAAACAGAAAGACAAACAGACGAGCGGTTCTTAGACCTATTATTTACATTTAAAACATCCATTAAACGCAATTGTTTTTAATATGTATATTTAATGAATGAAAATAAATATGAATATTATAAAACTTCACTACTTTTAAATTTCACAAAATCTAAAAATATAAATAAGAAGGTCTAATTTAAAAAAGAAATCCTTATCCATATAAATATTGACATAAATAAATCCTATGCATATATATATATATTGTATATTATATCATAGAAAAATAACTGCAGAAGGAAATAGGTACAAACATATTTTACCCTTAAATCCAACCGTGGGTTCTTTTCGAGAGCCTTGGAAATATTCCAAATAATAAAGGAGCACATCGAGGTTTGTTTAGTTGGCAAGTAAAGTGAACCAGTTTCTGTACATTTTCTGTAGATTAGAGACTGAAAAAAATATTCACATCGTATTTGCATCTCATGAAACCTATAACGTAATAAATAAATGTTTATAGTACCATTTTATTTGTTTGATTTAAAAAAAGAAAGAAAATTTACACTTTATTTATAAAATTAAAAGAAATATTTATTTATAAATATTTATTATTAATTATTATAAAATACAAAAAGACATTCTCACGAATAATTTTGACTCTACGTCTTAAAGCTCAACTTTATTATGGAAGTGACATCTTTCAGTAATATGAGTAGAATAGAAATAGGTATTTATTTTTTACCAAAAAGGTTGAATTAATGGTAATGCTGTTCATTGGTATTGCTAGTACCTATACAGGTAATATACATTAGTGCGTATTGCTAGAGCAAGGCTGGACTGAATCTTTTTAATCGTTCGAATAAAAAATATATATATTAGAAAGTTTCCCGGAATTGGGAAATTCGAAAAAAACTAAAACTACTTTTTTCTATATATTTTTGTGCTAGCTCAAAAATCACAAACTAAAATTAAATATGTACTGAGCAACGTCTGTTGGGTCAGCTAGTAATTAAATGTAATTATAAAAAACAATCATGTAAAAGAGGATAAACTTTTTATTGATCTGCATGATCTCGAAGATCGGATTGTTTGTATCGAGGTTAAGCGCAATAATTGCATGACTGTTCATTGCATCTTTTTAAGAAGTACTCAATTAATTTATTATTTAATAATTTGTTAGTTTTTACATAGTACTACTACTAATATACTAATGCTTTACCTATAAGTAAAACTAAATACTTACCTATTTTTACCCGACTACGGCGAAGCAAAAGAAGGGTTATAATTTTTACCGGCAAGTCATTATTATGAGTTATTAATAAATGATATATGTAATTAATGAAACATAGTGCGAGGGTCAACGTGCAATAAACAATAATTAGTTTCTTGCAAGTCAAGGATTCAAGATGAGATTCACTATCAGGATGTAACATCAAAACTAAGATATTTCATAATAACTGACTATGAAATGATAATATTCTTATTTTTAGAGATATTACCTACATGCATATAAATAACTTGGATATGATAATAAAAGATATATTTAAAAACTCTTAAAACCATCTACTTTATTTTAATACATACACATAGTTATATGATAATTAATTCTGACCTCTCTTGTGCTTATGTTTTAATTTAAACTCAAAATATTTTAGACGACATTAAAATTTTGCTTACATCATTTTTGGATTTTCAAGAGACTATCAAACGGGTGTTTTATAATACATATATTTATGCTTTTGTCTTATTGCAAACACTTTTAAACATAGACATGAAGTAAGTGCTACCCACTAAACCTCAACGGAACCTCCCCCGTCTTAATTGGGCGTCGCAGGTACTCAACCACGAAGCCCCGACGGCTGGCCTGCTGAGGCAGACCACAAAAACCAGGAGGTAGCTCCCACGGTTCACTCTACTATCATAGAAGTACCAAGAGCAACCCAGCAACATGGCCCACCAAAGTGAGCCACCCTCCAGTGTTGGATTGACGCCCGGCTGGATTGCCAAACGTTAATTAGCTTCCCCACAATCACAAGATGAAAACACAATTTGTTTTGTATTGTGGTGCATAGCTTAATTCTTATATTTAAATCTTGATTTTATAATGTAATGGAATATTATCATAGATCTTATGGTAATTTAATCTACTCTCTACAGAGTATTTCTCAGAAAGCTCTCCAAAAAACATCCTTGACATTGCCAAAATGATAAAATCTGGGGCAGCAATGCAGCGGCCCCTATGTTAAGAAGTCGATAGACATACTTATACATACATATACATATGTATATTTAAAACAGGCGCTGATAATCGAAAGTTGTAACGACTCACTGAGCGGTAAGTAATATCGAACCGTTATAAATGTGTTTTCAGGTCACACTTCTATTGAATATGTTATTTTAAGATACTCTTAATTTGCGTACACTATGCTCATAAATCGTTTATATTGATAAATATTTTAATTCATACATACATACATATATTATACATACATATATAAATGGAATTAATTTAAAAACTGGGATTTATCGCATTAATTTAATTTATAAATGAGTCACGCGATCTCATGACTTTAAAACTATTATAAAACAGAGAAGTTTGATCACGTTTCCACTCAGTTTAGTGCCCCATTAAGAATCTGAAGTATCTATCATCTCGAAGTAACACAAGAGAGGCAAGCAATAGAGGAAAAACACTTAATTAATGACTCTCTACTGTCAAATAAAAATTGTTCGTAATTTTCCACACACTAAAATAATAAAAGAATTTTAGCAAAAAAATATCTTTGGTTACCAAACGTCTTCTAGTATTTAAATTAAAATTATGAGAATATTTTATTAACAACGCAAGTACACAAATGCATCGTACTTGATAATGACAAAAAAGTAAAAGAAAAAGGTCGATATACCAAGGAGGAGGCGCCGGCGCGGGCGCCACCAGCCGGTTCCCATCGCTAACGGTTCGAGCCTTCCAAGTATAGCCAGCATTAGTGGCGGTGTTTAAGCTATTTTTAGCACAAACTGCATATCAACAAGAAAGCTGCATTCATGTATTAAGAGTCAATCCTGACACATTTTATAAAGTACTATAAGTGCTAGCACATACCATGATTATTGCTGACTAAAAAATTGCATCTAGATATCTCATTTATATGGAATATAAGTAACAATAATAGAAGCAAAATTAACTATTTGTATATTTTTTATTTATTTGTTCCTGTTTTTGTTCTGAAAGTCTGTTTAATAACGCATCACTTTAAATTTATTGGGCTGATTTTAATGTGACTTTTATTTATAGAACAGGTTAAAGATATTACCTTAATATAATTTATACTATACAACTTACGGTTACGATGCCTTACGCTTTACGCTCTCTACAAAAAGGAAAAGTCAAGCTCGTTTGTGGAGGACTAGATAAAAATACTCATGCGAAAAGCTGGCTATAGTACATAGATATGTATTCTTGTTTTTTTCTCACGTAATAAACTACAGCAACTTATTATTTCTTATATTCATCTATGTTTACTTTTTGATTGATGATTTAGATACATTTATAAGGTAAATTGGCTTATCTGAAAATGATAAAATGTACATGTTATATGTAATACATACTAGCTTTGTCTTTAGTTTCACATTTATATAAATATACTTAGTTCACAATATTACACAATGAAAGTTAGATAAAACTTAATAATTAAAATTAACATGCACATATACTACATGATGATGTTCTCCTGGCCGATTCCGGCCACGGCGGCCAATCTCATTGAGACTAGCCAACTGCGCAGGAGATATTATAGTGCACAAGTGTACGCGCAGACACAAGTGCACTCTCTATTCCTATCACTCTCATACTCTGGTGGGACGATTGCTCGACACGACCAGTGAGAGTTAAGGCACAGGACCGACGGCTTTACGTGCTCTCCGAGGCACGGGGGTGTAACACCGCCAACTTCCCAACTCCGGGCTGTTACTGAGGCTTACTATACAGAAAGACTCAATAACTAAACTTTGCCCGACCCGGGACTCGAACCCAGGACCTCAGGGTGTGCAGCCGTACATGCTAGCTACTACACCACCGAGGCAGTTGATATACTACATAGCGACTCACCCTCGCTCCGCTCGGGTTTGTCCCTCGTTTAGTAAAGATTTCTCTGAAATCAGATATTTTCTTGCAGTAAAAATTATCCTATATGTTGACCCCGATAACCAGCTATCATCATGCTACATTTCATCAAAATCTGTCTAGTGGTTTTGTCGTGATGCGTTCCCAGACGGACGGACAGATAGACAGACAAAAATTCTATATACTATAGATTCAGCCTCTGTATCGATAATAATGACTATTTCAATAACATTTTCCAAAAAATATATTTAATGTACAGATTCGACTCAATTAGAATTTTATTATACATATGTATGAAGAAAACATAGATTCCTCGTCAACGCCCAGACCCCATCGATAGGGAGCTAAAATTTTTACAACTATATTGGTATCATTAAAAAAAACTAACAGAATAAAAACAATCATACAAATATTCATCAAAAGCAGACTACATTGATTTCTAACGTATACCTCCTGGCTCTGTCGTCAGATTAGTACAATATTTCTAACGACTCATCGTTATATATTATATAACGACTATCGATAATTTAAAGTAAGTTAATATCAAATTCCAAGAATTGATTACAAAGTTATTCACAAGTCAAGCTAAAAAAAGCGATCTAATAGCGTTGCTCGGTGGCTGGCGATGGTGATCGTG